TCCAAATCTACAATTTTAGCATTAATTTTGCAATTCTATTTTTACATCCCCTACAATTCAGAGCTCAGTGAATAAACCCAGTTGTTTTCTACGTAATTTGTAGCTTGCAAAATATGTCACAAAATATGCTTTTGACATAGATATATTTTATTTTCAATAATCTGTGTGCATAGTGCTTACATATTCATTCCTACATGTGAGTTCCTCTTGTTCGTGATGTTTTTCCTGTTTATTAAGGTATGTGTGCATAATTACATTTCCATGGAAAAGAGAAGGGAAAAAAGCGTGTCACAAAATTGATTCCTTGTTACAGATTTATATTCTGTTTTTTTGGTTTATTTTCATTGCATCTTAAAGTTAACCCCTTCAGGAAGTAGTCAATTGTATACGTTCTGATCAAAACAAAATGTAAACAAAAACTGGAATTTGCGCTATATGTCTGTTCAACCGTAATTCACCTCTTTCATATTAAGTGCACCCACACTTATTATATATCATTTTATTCAGGAGAAACAAGGCTTTAATTTCTCATGAACTATTCATATATGAAACATAATTTATTATGAATGAAATAAAAAAAACTGGGAGAAATTTAGATTTTTTTTAAAATGTGTAGTTCCGTCTGACATTTTATCTGTAAATGTCATAATTCTTTTAGCTTTTACCGCAATAAAATGCACATATTTGTAAAGTCTCATCAGTACAACAGTACCCCCCTTTAACCCCTTAAGGACACATGACATGTATTTGTGACTAACTGGCTACGAAAAAAGACTGGACATACCCCACTTGCAATACCTTGGGTTCCCTACTTTTGCAAATGGTATGCCATCATGGAGATAATGCTCATTCCTTGGCTACCATAAGGTCTCAAAGGCAACAATACCAAACTGGCAAATTTTAATGTGAATAAAATGAAATGCAACCCTTATATTTGACTCTCTAACTTTCCAAAACACCATAAAACCTGTACATGGGGGGTACTGTTATACTTGGGGGACTTCACTGAACACAAACATTAGTGTTTCAAAACAGTAAAATGTATTACAACAATATCATCGGTAAAAGTGAGATTCATGTGGGAAAAATGCAGAAAATGTCACTTTTACTAAAAATATCATCGTTGTAATACAATTTACCATTTTAAAACACTAATATTTGTGTTCAACGAAGTCTCCCGAGTAAAACAGTACCCCTCATGTACAGGTTTTATGGTGTCTTGGAAAGTTACAGGGTTAAATATAGTGATTGCGAATTACATTCACTGCACTTTCTGCCTGGCTTGTCAGGCATGTCAATCAAAGTTTAATTAATAAAATCACATAATTATGCTAAAAGATTACTTAAATATACACGTAGAATTTTAATATATACATATATATGTATTTAAATTCTACATGTATACTTATGTAATCATTAATGTAATTATATATATTTATCTATATATATTTGTGGTTATTTGAATTTTATATATAGATAGCTATATATAGAATGTCATTCTAAGTGTATTTGTTACATATATATATATATATATATTAACAAAATACAGTTAGAATGAAATTACATATGTATATATAATTTATTTTCATTTTTTAAAAATATTTTATTTATTTAATTATTTTATTTATTATTGTAATTATACATATATATAAATATAAAATATATATATATTTAATATATATGTAACTTAATTCTAAGTGTATTTTAATACTAATATATGTACTTATATTAATATTAAAATACACTACGTATGACGTTACATATATATAAGATGTATATATATTATATATATATATATATATATATATATATATATATATATATATACACACACACATTTAGTTTATTATACATGTTTAATTATGTTTTTTTTTTTTTTTAGCTCTTCCCACCACAGACAGCTACAGGGGGCCTGATTTGCCAGGGAAGGGCTGCCTGGGCTGTCAGGCAGTCCTTCCGAAGTGGATTGCCGGGAAGGTGAGTATATTTCAGCTCCTGGGATAGAAAGCCGTTACGACGTTCTATGCCGCCGCAACTGCTTTACAGCCCATTATAATGAGGACGGCATAGAACGCTGTAACGGCGTTAAGGGGTTAGAATTACTTCTTCTTTTTTTAACTTCCAAAATAGTGGAACTCTGCTTAAGTGGCATTTCTTTTTTATAATCTACTCCAACACTTATTTGCCCAGCCATACAGTTTTGCCTTCTGGTTGTCTCTTTTGAAGGAGTTGGGAGGCTAAGGGGCTGGTCCATGCTGTGTTCTCTCAACTTGACTACTGCAATCCGCTTCTCAGTGGTCATACGTGTTCCCAACTTGCCTCATTGCAGTCTATAATGAGAGCAACGTCGAGATTCCTCTTCCTGTCTGCCCGCACCTCCCTCTTTGTCAATCTTTGCATTGGCTTCCTGTAAGATATAGGGCTCAAATTAAGACTCTGGTACTTGACTGCTAACTCCTCCGTAACCTATTCACGTTACCCCTTCCCCACCAATAATTAATATAACACCATTTTATTGGGTAAGGGTAACGGCCACATCTTTATTTCTTGACAATCAGCAAACAACCGTTGTCAGCTGCTGGTTTGACCCAGCAGACAGCTCACAATATAACATTTATCCAGAGCCGCTTCAGCTTGTCATTTGTGATCCACCAAATCAGACTGGGACTCCTCAAGCCTGTACGGGCAGTGGTCTTTTAATAATGTTACTGGAGCTGGAAACCCACAGCTGTGACAAAAGAACACCGCAAACATGAAAACAAACAACTAACAATTAAGTCCTACCCTCCCACCTAAAGGGGAGGGAAGGCAGGAAAAAGCACCACCAGGATCCCTCGGCTGTTCTCCAGTGGTCTGGTGAGTTCTCCCAGAATTCTCGGTACCTAACTCTGACACAACATTGTTACCAATTTAATTACCATGCCAACCCCTCAGGGCAGCATTAATGCTCCCCCTCCTTATTCACTTCAGGGGTTGGCATTGCTTACAAATCTCTACACAATACTGCTCCAACCTATCTATCCTCCCTAATACACAAGTATGTCACGTCTAACCCTCTGCACTCTGCCGAAGACCTATTTCTATTCTCTGTCCATACTTCCAATTCTGAGGCTTGCTGCCAAGCCTTCTCTAGGGCCACACTGTTCCTGTGGAACTCCTTTCCCTCCTCCATTAGACTTTCTTCACTCCTTCAAAAAAATCATTGAAAACTCACTTCTTCAGAAAAGCATATGAATAAAACTAACAGCTTTCCCTCCCCACACCCTGATTCCTCTCCTGCAACTGCCAAAAACAAAACAATCCCCCCCCCCCCACCAAGCCCTCAGTGAATACTTTTCTAGCAACCTACTTTTCTACCCCTACCCTTACCTTTTGTGCCACTATATCCTACTACCTCTAGCATGTAAGCTCATCGAGCAGGGCCTCATCACATCTGTTCCTGTGTGTCCAACTCGTCTGGTTACAATTACGTGTCTGTTAAGCCACTCATTGTACAGCGCTGCGGAATTTGTTGGCGCTTTAAAAATGATAATAATAATAACCTAAGCTTTTAAGGTTGTATTCTTTGTGTTCTAAATATTGACATATGAGTCTGATCTCATGCATTCCACTGTACTCTGATGTTCTCATCTCTGTTATGGATGAAAACCCATAAAAGAGATGTATGCCTTAAAGGAGCCCTGTAACACAAACATGTATTCCTGACCCTATAGGGTTAAAACCACCATCTAGCCACCCTGGTCCCCTCATGCCTCCCTAAATATAGTAAACTCTTACTTGTATTCAAGTCTACAGCTGCTTACTTTGTCCCTGTTTCCTTTACACCTACTCAGTGCCTGCTGACATCAGCAGAAGTGGTAACCTGATCCAATCACAATGCTTTCCCTTAGTATTGGCTGAGACTGACAAAGAGGCAGATCAGGGGCAGAGCCAGCACAATTCAAACACAGCCCTGGCCAATCAGCATCTCCTCATAGAGATGAAATGAATCAATGAATCTCTATGAGGAAAGTTCAGTGTCTGCAGGCAGAGAGAGGAGACACTGAATGTTTTGATGCATTTTAGGCAGCCATGACCCAGGAAGGATCTCTAACAGACATCTTAGGAGTGGCCAGTGAAGTTATCATTAGGCTGTAATGTAAACACTGCATTTTCTCTGAAAAGACAGTGTTTACAGCAAAAAGCCTGAAGGTAATGATTCTACTCACCAGAACAAATTCAATAAGCTGTAGTTGTTCTGATGACTATAGTGTCCATTTAAAGGACCACTATAGTGCCAGGAAAACAAACTCGTTTTCGTGGCACTATAGGGTCTTTGGGTCCCCCCCACCCTCACGGTCCCACTACCGCGGGCTCAGGAGGGGTTATGGGGTTAAACACTTACCTTTCTCCAGCACCAGGTTGCCTCGGCACTGCATTCAATCAGTCCATAGGAAAGTATTTCTCAATGCTTTCCTATGGACGTCAGCGTCTTCTCACTGTGATTTTCAATGAGACAGCCACTAAAGGCTGGATTAACCCTATTGTAAACATAGCAGTTTCTCTGAAACTGCTATGTGTACAGCTGCAGGGTTAACCCTAGATGGACCTGGCACCCAGACCACTTCATTGAGCTGAAGTGGTCTGGATGCCTATTGTGGTCCTTTAATTTAATACCTTAGCTTAGTTTGGGCCCTTTAGAATTAAACTACCAGTAACATGGCCCCCAGAATACTTGAGTCTAAGGATATTATTTTGTATTTGTTATTGAGTCTTTGGCACACACACACACACACAAAAATACTTATTAAAAAAAGCCTTTGTCTTTAGTTTCCTCACAGCTGATAACAGTACATTCATTCCTAGCTGCAGCTGCACTAACTACTGTGACACACATAACACATATCCCAATCAGCCATCTTACTTCTAGAAAGGTGCATGAATGTAGAGTGGCAAACAGAAGGGGTGTGACTCCTCCCGAATGAAAGCCGCTCCTACACTCATACATTGAGGACTGTACCGTTATTATTAATTTAGATTTATAGGAAGGACGCTTCATTCATAGCACTTAATGGATAAATGTATAGTCTTAGCAGCTGACGTGTGGTAGTCTATGGAGGTTAATGCAGTCCCAGGATTTTGCTGGTTAGTCATCAGACTAATATTTATTTTAACCCTGAGTCCTCCCACTTTTGCCTCATGGAGACACAACTGATAGGCAGCTATATTGAGAAAGAGGAAGCTGTACAGTAGCCTGAGGCAGTGTGTGAGAAGAGGGTGTCTTCTGCCTGCTCTGTGTTTGTGGAAATCCGGATTGGGGGGCGGTGTAAGGTAAGATTTTACTGCTGCTGTGGATATAAGAAGTGTTTCATGCCCCGGATGGAGATTCATGCTGCCTCTATCTATTGGACTGCTGCTGGCTGCCATTGGAGAGGGGGTGAGGAGATAGCAGACAACCTGCGTAGGGCTTTAATTCAGTAGAAATACACTGATTGCTTTGCACCCCACTTATCTATGTGTTTTGGTTTATAAGGCAGCATCCTGATCAGCACTGATGGTTACCTTTAAGTTCTGTTCAGTACAGATCTGTAGAACAATTATACGAGGTTGCAAAAAAGTAATTATCCTACATTTTATTTCTGGTGAGTTCACGTTTTCATTTTAAATTATTGTCATTGGGGCAAAGTTCTTAAAGTGGATCAGTCAGTAGGAGCATGGGGTTTTAATGTAGCATTCTTGGTGATACATAGTATATTATAGTATATATCTGTTTCCATGGTGACTGCTCCACCGTTAGTACTTTTCCCCACACGTATCCCTTATTGATAATACTTTTTGTTCTAAATCCGTTGCAAACTATAAGATATGTGTAGAATGTTTGTGCCTTGCCGTTGGTGACCGTTTGTGGTTGCTTAGGTTTGACAGTCATTTTATAAACAATGATGTAAAGTATCAAATGACCTTTGTACCTTCATACAACACCTTTTAGGGTACACCAGAGCAGCCAGGAAGGGCAGTGTTTGTTTTAAGTCAGTCAAATACGAGCACAGTTTGGCAATCTGGGAATGTGTTTTTAAAATATATTTTTTGTTTCTGTTCCATTCTGGCCAATTTTAAAAACATGTATTTTCTTGTATATTCTATCTAATAATCATCACTGACAAACTTATAAAAGCAAGCAATGTGTGTTGGAACAATGTCAGTTTGGAGAGTGGAGTTACAGCTGGGAAAATTCTAGAAAACTACTTTTGGATGACAGGAAAAAGCTAACTGACCCCTTTTCTCAGTCACTGGTAGTTTTTAATTGGTTTCTCACATACATATTGCATTGTGTTCATAAGTATTGTATTCATAAGGTGTGTACAAATGTAGTAAAATCCCACATTTTGTTTTCAGCTATGTCAGTTATATTTAGCTGTAATTCCATAGTATTCACCTTATGACTCCTTACATGACTCCATAAATCTATTCCATAATGTGTACCAAATGTTAATAGTTTGCTCTCATTTGGATTCTACTTAATCCTGACAATAAAATGCTTCCTACAGTTTAGTAATGCTACATAATGTTTAAGGGGTTTAAAATACTTTTATAAAACAACACAGCTCTAAGGATTCAATCATCAAATGTGATCTGGAGTTTGAGTGCCAAGTAGTGCTGTACGCTAATTGCTTTTGTCCTTCTCTAGTTATTCTGTTTGTGCCGTGATACCATCAGATTAAGGTCCCTAAATGTGTCAAAATATTTTAAAAGTGGTTTCATGAAAACTGGGGTTTTCCCACCGCCTAAGCCGCTGCTTTTGCTTGCCGTTTTCAGAACTTGACTTCTACATAAGCACATCCAACCTTATAGGTCAATGGCAGGCTGAGAGTGCTGGGCTTCTACAAAACAGTTGGACACAAACTGAGAATGCATTGCACTACACTAACAATGGTGAAATTTAGGGCACCAGTTTTAAAGAAAGATACTGCAGAACTAGAAAAAGTGCTGTCAGGCTACGAAATTAATAAGGGAATGGAAAATATTAGGTCATGAAGAAACACTAGAAAATCTACATTTGTTTTCTTCAGAAAAAAAGACCTCTCATAGGGAATGTGATAGCACTGTACAAATATACACTGGGTCAGTACAGACAGGAATACAGAACAGACAAGAGGCCACGCATTGAGACTGGAAGAAAGGTGTTTTCGATTACGGCAGAGGAAGGGATTCTCTGATTTTGTTCTCTGATGTCCCAAATCTAGGGTTTGCAGGGAACTAATCTCAATCAGCGTAGTGCGCTGCCCTTATCTGCCCTGTCCACCTCCAGCATCAGCGTATATGAGGGCGCCTAAGGAGAGATACTACGTTGGAAATTTACAGCAGCTGTTGACAAGGACACTCCGAGCACCATAACCACAGTCAGGCTTAGTTCAGTGCTGGGGCTTATGTCTGAAGAGGACACCAGGTAAATTGTCAAATCAATTTTAAATGGATTGACTGCTTACACTGGGAGTGCGCCAGGGCACTCTTGGCACCATAACCACTAGTTTCTTTTAAGCAAAATATAAAATATTTCTGTAATTACCTCAAAACATGTACAAAATTATCTTATGTTTTACTTTGGTTTTAGGAGGTTCTTGTCTGTTCTATTAGAAATGTAATATTACACTCCGTACCAATTCCACGTATCTCCATTGTAAAAAATAGACGTGTTGTATAATTGAACTCTGGCAATGGTTTACTAGTTCATTTTGGTATTACAAGAAGGTGTGGTGTTTTCAGTAGTTACACATGATTAGGATTTGAATGGTGTGTTTACAGAAGATGTTTGAATTGATAACTGGCATAATTATGACCTAATAAACCCGTCCAATATACCTAGATTGGATAACTGTTTTTTTAATAGTGGAAAAGCCTATCTATAGCCTGTTGTTGTTGGACTGCAACATATATCACTCTCAGCAAATATGGCATTTGTTGTACATCTTTATTGAATCAAATTGCAATTGTTTAAACAGTTTGAATTGCAAATGCCATCACCCTGCAGATCTCCTTTGGTAATAGCATGAGTTATAGTTTTTAAAAGGTCACTGGCAGTAAATGATTGTTAAAATTAAATGTGTTCCTTACGGTGGTTATTTTTAGGTCAGGCTTCATAGGTGACGTCACCCTGATGAAGTGATGAGGGAACTTTACCACACAGGTTGCTTTTGCCAGGAACCTGCTAAACACCCTCCCCATCGGAATCACTCTGCATGCAAAGTTAAGGCGGCCAATGAGAGATTGTAGGGTAGCAGCATAACCTTCTTTGCCTTTCGAACCTCCTCCACAGTCTGAAGGAGCGCCAGGAGTTTATCCTGCGGCAACCTACATTTGCCCTTATGCGAATCAATCTCTAAACCTAAAAAACTAAGGCAAGTGGCTGGTTCTACTGTTTTTTTCTTCCGCCAGTGGGACACCAAACAGCCTGGTTAACCATTCCAATGTTCGCAGCAACAGATGGCAAGCGTCGGAACCTGCGGGGTTGATACAAAGAAAGTCCTCCAAATAATGTACAACAAACCTGTTAGCAGGAGCCTCCTCCCTAACCACCAATTCAAGAAATGTACTGAATTTCTCAAAATATGTACATGAGATGAAGCATCTCATTGGCAAGCATAAGTCAATTAAATATTGGCCATCTAAAAAAAACAGCCTAAGAGATGGTGGCACTCTGGATGAATCGGCAATAACCTAAAGGCAGATTCCACATCAGCCTTTGCCATAAGTGCCTTGTTTCCTGCTTTCTGAACCAAGTCGACGGCGTGGTTGAACGAGGCATAGGTTACTGAGCATAGATTCCCATTGATGTCATCATTAACTGATGAACTTTTGGGGTATGACAGACGGTGAATCAGCCGGGAATTACTGGCCTCCTTTTTAGGAACAACACCTAACTGCGAAATCCTAAGATCAGGGATGGGGGGGGACGGTAAATAGCCCCACCATCCTGTCTAACTGAACCTCCTTGTCCAATTTTTGGCAACTATGTTTGGGTATTCTGCGACCGATTTTTAAGTTGTGGAAACGACGCACAACCTCCCTATTTTAAAATGGAATGAAAAAACGTTGTAAAACCATCACCAAATAGTATAGCGTCTTTCTGGTTAGCGTAACGGTTTAGCCAAAGTAACATCACGCTTACCTCCATGGAAGCGGATGCAACTGTGTGCACTGATGTGTTTCCGGTGGGGAAAGGCTTTCCTCGCTTGAAACATCTGTTGTAACCATGTGTTCCTCCGCAACCAGTGCATTCATGCTTGAACTTACATGTGGCTCCCCACTTACAATGGCCTTCATTAAAGAGCCAGCAAAATCCTGTTTTATGGGAGGCAAATGAGGTGTTGGATATAACCCCGCCGGCCCCTGCATGAAAGGGGCGACGGCTTCTGGTCCATCATCAGTTTTATGCAAAGAGGCATATGCATCTGGTCCCACCGCATACCTGGATTTGATGATAAACACTGCCTAAATTGCTCATCATATTTCCACCAAGCTGACCCACCATAGGTACGATATGCTTCCCAAATTCCATCCATGTAACAGAATAACTGTGTGAACTTCTCAGGGTTGTTTTTCCCCCTATGATGCCGGCAAGTATGCCAAAAGCTTGAAGCCAATTACTGAAAGACTTCGGTATCTTCTGATACCTTTGTCTCTTCTCTTCCTTTTTGGAGTCCTTTTTATCTTCGTCTCTTATATCTATATACTTGTCTAGTGGGAGAAGCAAAAATTTCTCAACATCTTCCTCTCACCAAATCTTCTCTCTTATATGGGGCTTAATATGACAACCCACTGGGCCTGCAAATGAAACATGTGCATTCTTCCTAGCTGTATCTGGAACACAGCCTGTCAATTCCATCCGCATCTTAATTCTGCATACTGCAGGACAGTGGTTTTTAAAAGCTGTGCACCAATCTGTTTAATTCATAAGCATCTAGAGCAGAGGTTCTTAACCCAGTCCTCACGCACCCCTGAACTGTCCAGAATTTAGGGATTACCCTGCTGTGTCTAATGTGTTTTTAGGGGGAGGAACAAACACTTTAGTCACAACAGGGTAATCCCTAAATCCTGGACTGGTAAGGGGTCCTTGAGGACTGGGTTAAGAACCCCTGCTCTAGATGCTTATAAGTTAAACAAATTGGTGCACAACTTTTAAAAACCATTGTCCTGCAGTATGCAGAATTAAGATGCTATAACATACAGTGTGTAATACCAGGCTCTAAAGATGAAGTGCAGCTAGTGCTACTGTGGAATGAATCATAAACCCTTCCGATCTTAAGATAAGTACAAAAAATAGGTAGTGGACAGCACAAACATTACATAATCTATATTAAAAAAATCGATGCATATAAAAGCCCACTATGTGAGGTATATACAATTGTGTATCAGACACCACTTATATAAATGTGCTGAGTGGTAAAGAAATATAAAAGAACTATACCATAAACAGGTTTCAATGTGCCACAGCATTAGGAAGAGAAACAATCTGTCATAGGGCAACCCAATAATGAACCATAATAAAATAGATCTAATAAGTATCACACTCACATTTCCTTGAGCCTGTTAATAGTAACTGGCTCAGGTAGTATAGCCTTGGTGTGACACAATCCTTTTACTGGATAGGATGAATATCTTGATCTCCAATAGTTACATAAAACACAAGAAAGGCAAGCCCAGTTAAAATAGCGCAAAATAAAATGTATTATAACACACATAAAAACCTTACATCAAGGTAACTGGAATGCCACAGACCAACATATATAGAAAAACACGTTTCAATATTCCAGTCAATGAGCGATGTTGTTTGATTTTCGTGGTAATTTTGTGTGTTTTTGGAGGTAGCAGTTGGAGCTCCACATAAACATGTCTTGTTAGGTGCTCAGCTCTTTCTTTTATAATATTTACATCCCCCCCATAGAAGCACCTGTTTAAACTGCTTGGTTTTGGTTATGCATGGTATTTAAACAATATTAGGTTTACAGGTATTTATGTATGATTATTCTTATTCTCAGAGGGAACACAATGGAGAATAAAGAAATATTTCATGAAAATTATAATTCTGGACAGGAACAAGTGGCCACCTCGGAGAGTCAGCCATCTGATGTGAGCAGCACTGGGAACATTGTTAAGGTAAATGTCTAACTAATTATAAGCTGCAGTAAAGCATTCACCATGTTCAATGATTTTAATAACCAGAATAGTGTAACCCTACTAGGTGCTAGATCTGCAACTTTTGCAAAGCAAGGTTTCCTGTGTCTCCAAAGAAAACATGTTCTTTTAATCTTTTTACCTTAAGCGGTGTGGGGAGGAATGTCTGGTTGCTACACAAGGCAAGGTAATCAGGATAAAAGAAGCAACACGGCCCTCTAGCAATCCTGCTTGCTGTCTATTTTTAAATAAATCTTTCTTTGTTTTACTGCTTTTAAATTTTATTCAGTAAGGTGAGAATTGTCTGGAATTTACAGTGAATTTCAAATTTAAAGCCAAGGTAGCTGAACTAGAAACTTAATTGACTTTTTCTTGTCCCTTGTAACTTACCTGAAGTGTGATTTATATTCCTAATCTTGTCTTCCTTATCTTTATTGATGTTTCATTAATACTTAAAGGACCACTATAGCCTGATTTCCCATAAAACAAAAATCAGTGTCTAGTAGATATAACTTCAGTGAATACAGGCATGCCTTTTTAATGCATATATTTATTGGGGTTATATCTTTAAATGAGCATGTCAAACTCAAAGGCTAACACTGGACAAAGAACAAGATTTAAGTTTATGTGAGTCGCAAAAAAAACAAAAACTTCAGTTTTCATAGGAACATAGGTTTATATAGAAAAGTACGGTATAAAATAAGTTGCCTAACTGACACTGGATGTCCTCATGCTCGCTTCAAAGTAAAGAAAAGAGCAAATTTATTTTAAGGAGACGTGCATTTGCATATAACCAATGTTTCAGTCCAACTACCTTGACATATTAACCCCTTAAGGACCGAGGACGGTTCAGGACCGTCATCGGCATTTTTGCCTTGCCGACCGATGACGGTCCTGAACCGTCCAAACGGTCTGGGGGTACTTACCTGATCGCCGTCGTTCCCCCGGCGGCGATCAGTGTTCCTCCGGTTTTGGGGAGACTGCCTGCAGCCCAGACAGTCTCCCCACGGCAGATTAGGACCCCTGTGGCCATGTGATCGCTTAACACAGCGATCACATGGTCACAATAGGTGTCCATAGTGCTGCCTGCAGGGGGACTGCCTGTGCTGACAGGCAGTCTCCCTGCAACTGTAAAATCAGAAAAAAAATTAAAGTTAATGGTAATAAAAAAAATAATAATAATTATATATGTATAAATATGATATATAGACATATATTATATCTATATAATATGTCTATATATCATATATATAATGCCATACTAAGTGTATTTTTATATTAATATGTACTTATATTAATATAAAAATACACTTATAATTAAATTACACACGTATATATATAATATATATAATAACTATATATATTGTATATATATATTATTATAAAATATAAATAATAAGTAATTTAAATTAAATAAAATTTTTTTTAAATAATAATAAAAAATTTAAAAAAAATTATATAGCTATATGAAATTTTATTCTAACTGTATTTTAAAATTAATATATATATATTTATATCAAAATACACTTAGAATGAATTTGTATATATATCTATGTATATAAAAATAAATAAAAATAATAAGAAATATACATACATCCATATACAAAATTACATAAATAATTATATAAATATACACGTAGACTTCAAATATATAAATATGCATATATATTTAAATTCTACGTGCGTATTTATGTAATATTTTTACATAATTCAGTAATTTTATTGATTGCAATTTGAGGGACCTGCCTGCCAACCCAGGCCGAAATTCCAGAGAATTTAATTTGTTAGCACTGTATTTTACCCTGTAACGTTCTACGACACCCTAAAACCTGTACATGGGGGGTACTGTTTTACTCGGGAGACTTCGCTGAACACAAATATTAGTGATTCACAACAGTAAAACATATCACAGCGATGATATTGTCAGTGAAAGTTACTTTTTTTGCATTTTTCACACACAAACAGCACTTTTACTGATGATATAATTGTTGTGATACGTTTTCCAGTTTTTAAACACTAATATTTGTGTTCAGCAAAGTCTCCTGAGTAAAACAGTACCCCCCATGTACAGGTTTTATAGCATTTTTGAAAGTTACAAGGTCAAATATATGGGTCAAATATTTTAACATTGAAAATGGCCAGGTTGGTTACGTTGCCTTTGAGAGCGTATGGTAGCCCAGGAATGAGAATTACCCCCATGATGGCATACCATTTGCAAAAGAAGACAACCCAAGGTATTGCAAATGGGGTATGTCCAGTCTTTTTTAGTAACCACTTGGTCACAAACACTGGCCAAAATTAGCGTTCAATTTAGTTTTTTTACTTTTTTCACACACAAACAAATATGAATGCTTACTTTGGCCAGTGTTTTCGACTAAGTGGCTACTAAAAAAGACTGGACATACCCCATATTGAATACCCTGGGTTGTCTACTTTAAAAAAAATATGTACATGTGGGGTGTTATTCAGAGATTTATGACAGATAATAGTGTTACAATGTCACTATTGATAAATTTTTAAAATGTATGTTTTTAAACCGCAATATCCTACTTGTACCTATAGCCCTATAACATGCAAAAAAAAGCACGTAAACACTAGGTATTTTTAAACTCAGGACAAAATTTTGAATCTATTTAGCAGTTTTTTCATTCGCTTTTGTAGATGAGTAAAAGATTTTTCAAGTAAAAGTCAAAAAACATGTATTTTTTTCAATTTTTCATCAGATTTTTGTATTTTTTTTAAATTAAAATACATGAGATTATATAAATAATGGTATGTAAAGAAAGCCCATTTTGTCCTGAAAAAAACAATATATAATTTGTATGGGAACAGTAAATGAGAAAGCGGAAAATTACAGCCAAACACAAACACCACAAAAGTGTAAAAATATTCCTGGTCGCAAATGTACAACATCGCAAAAACAGTCCAGTCCTTAAGGGGTTAAGAAAAGTTTGGTAATAGGACTGAAATGGTGAATGTATGCTGTTGCACAGCTGTAAAAAAACAAATGACGTTATCTTGTTGATTTTGATGTCCTATGAGTGTGTTCTTCACTTTGGCTGAGCTCATCAAACTTGATGATCTCAGCCAATCCAATATAGGAAAGCATTGAGAGGCTATTGTGCATGTGTGGCAAAACGCTACACGGCCAATGAGCATCTCCTTGGGGAGCGTTCAGCGTCCATGCAGACCCAATACACTGCCTTCAAATCCAATACACTGGCCCTTAATATAATACACTTCTCCTTCTCACTCCACTCAAATTGAATACGCTGCCCACCCCCCTGCCCCGCAATTTAATACACTGCCTCCTCTCCCCCAATATAATACACTGCTCCTCTTCCCCTAACTTAAGATGAGCCAGCCGTCCTCCAGTTCCAGCCCTGCTGTTCTCTAATGAAGCAGGCCAGATGCTCCTCTGGCTCTGCGAGCAGGAGGGAAGGGGGAGTGGCCGGCCTGCTCTGCAGACAGAGAGCCACTCTGCATACTGTAGCGCAGCCGCCGGATATGACTTCACATGCTGTATGCGCATATCTGGTGGCCGGCGTGGACTAATGCTTAGCGCTCTTGCAGCTGTCGCAGCACGCGATCGGCCATGGTAGGGCAGATGGAAACAGACAAGAAAGATCTTTCCTGTCTTGTGGCTGGTCATAGCCACAGCACAATGCAGCCCTGGGCAGGAGGGCTGAAAAGATAGTCATTATGGCCCACATGCGGCCCATGGGCCGCAAGTTTGACATGCTTGTCTTAAAAGAACTAGAAAATGTTGCAGTTCTTAGGAACTGCATCCTTTGCAAGTACTCCCTTATTTTCTAATAAACCTATCAGAGAAGTCCCTAAATCTGTTTGCGCAGGCGTGTGTGCACACGTCTGATCTGAATGTCTGTGCAGACTTCAGGGGAGCACACAGAAGGAGAAAGCAAACCTCCCTGTCTGTCTATTTCATAGATGGGGATGTTCCATAAATTAATTATAGAAGTGCTGATTTCTTATAGAAATCAACACTTTCATAAAATGGGCATTAGGTAGGATACCCCTTAACTTTAAAGCTGAAGTGCTTGGTGTGGAGCAGTCCTTTAGCTGTCATTTATTATGTTCATGGTTCTGATACTCTTTGTAACTTAAATCTTTAATTTTGTATTATCTATTGGAAATGTTTACAAAATATTATTTGGGAAAAAATGTGCTACCCTGCCCTCTTGTTATGGCAGGACTGCTTACCTATCATCCCAGGGTCTGCTCACTGCTGTCTCTGCTATTGTAAGGTCATCTCAAAAGTACAGAAATTAATATGGGCAGATGAGCATCCTTTGATGTTGCAGCTGTGATTTTGTCCACCGTTCTTTCTTTTGTTAAAGTGGATAATAACTCCAGTACTAAAGTTTTCCTGTCTTAGTACTTCGCTACCATTCTGATGATGTCAAGGGATTGGGTGATAGTCATCAAATGTACTGCTAAAAAGACTTTACACCACCTGTTTAATTAATAATGTGTTGTAACACATGATCAGGGACTTTATAGATAAGAAAAACATTTTTTTTTTTATTTCTTTTTAAGCATGACTAGACAAATGTTTTCTAAAAAATGTCTCCTACACGCCATAAAACAACAAAGTGGTCAAAATTCTAATGTGATGTAATTAACTTTACTTGATAGACATCAATTCTGTTCTTCAATTCTTTATTATTAATGCAAAAGTATTTCATATATTGTTTATTTCCTAGGATGGGGCTTTTGTAAATCCCAAAGTGCAAGATGGAAATTTCCCTACAGAAGAAAGTGCACTATTAAACAGTGGGCAGCAGTCAGCAGAGGTCAGAGCGGAGTCCACCATGTGCATGAAGATGAAGAAGCTATTTGCCTGCCCCCCCCAAGGACCTCTATCCCTCATAATCACCAATGGTACAACTACTCTACTGTAGCTATTAAGGGGTCAGAAATGCCACACATTGTGAGGACAGATATGTATGGGTATATAAAAGTTTTGGGATGTGTGACTAGGACTGTATATATAAAGTGATTTAACTCCTCAATTGCAGAGAATTGAGCAGCGAGACTGCAGGGGCATGATCTATACACCAAAACTGCTTCATTAAACAAAAGTTGTTTTGGTACTTAGACTATCTCTTTAATGGCTTAAAGGTAGCTGACAATCTGTATGTAAGTGTCTATCTCAAAGCTATAAAAACCTTTACCAAATGCTGCATTGCCTGCTCATGATGTTCAGACCGGACATTGTTTGATCAGAAAAATGTGATGACTCTCAGTGACTGCTAATTCACTGCTAGGCTGACGTTGATCCTATTATGTAGTACTGAAAAACTATATTCATACTCTGATCTCAAGTCATGTGATTACCTTTCAGTTACCATGATAGCCCTTGTTTGGTGTGTCATTTGGTCTATAACCGGTGCGGAATGTCTTCCTGGAGGAAACCTGTTTGGAATTTTAGCTCTATTTTTCTGCGCATTCTTCGGGGGGAAACTTGTTGGTCTCATTAAGCTGCCAACTCTTCCTCCAATGCCTCCACTCCTTGGTAAGTTGAATATTAATAATAAAAAAATTATATAAATATTTAGTAAAGTGGGAATTCAAATGCATTAGTGCATCTCTATGGAGAATGTTCAGTATCTCCATGCAGAGTGTGCAGCACTGGACTAGAAAGCACCTCCAGTGGCCATTTGAGTGTTATTAGCCTGCAATGTATATACTGTCTTTTCAATGTTAAAGCAGCGTTTACAGTGCTCAGCCTGTAGGGACAGGCTATAGACATCAGAACCACCACATTAAGCTGTTGTGGTTCTGGTTACAATACTGTACCTTTAAGGCCAAAATTGCTGAACTGGAAGCATTCTCTAAATCATCTATGCTTACACTTTTGCTACTCTGACCTTAAAGAAACACTATAGTGTTAGGAATACAAAGCTGGAATCTCTGCTAGTACAGCTAGTGCGACTGTACTGGGGCCCACACACTGTCAGGGCGCATTGGGTGGTCCATGCACTTAGGGACAGCCGATGGGTATCACTAAACAGGGGCCTGGTCAGGTGCAGCGTCCCTCTAAGAGCGCTGTGATATCTACCAGCTTGGAGGAAGTGACAGATGATCACTTCCTCCAAGCTTCAAACAGAACGCTCCATGCTGGGGGTAGAAGGCAGCAGCAGGCAGAGAGACCCATATCATCCTCAGCAACCCCAAAAAGTCACCCTGCAGATAAAAGGTATCCAACAGGAGGGTGGCTACATAAAAAATACGATCAGTGTGTGTGTGTGTGTAATTATGTTTGTATTTCTGTGTATCACGGTGTGTGTATGTGTCACTGTGTGTATCTGCGTGTGTGTGTGTATATATGGCAGGGTGTGTATTTGTGTGGCAGTGTGTATGTATATGTGTCACTGTGTTTTAAAGTGTATGCATGCGTGCATGTGTCCAGGTATGTGTATCTTTGTGTGTGTGTGTGTGTGTGTGTGTGTGTGTGTGTGTACATATATATATATATATATATATATATATATATATATATATATATATATATATATATATATATATATATGTACACACACACACACACGTATGTAGGAATGTGCATACATCTCAGCAATCAAACACAATCACATCTAAACACACCCTTGCAAACACAAATATTACATACAAACACACTTCTGCATGCAAATACAAACACCCCTTGTATTAAAACGATAAAAGTATATACAAACCGCAACTCTACACACAAAAGCACACCTGCATTTAAAAGCAAACATTACATACAAACATACCCATGTATTCAAACGCAAATACAATACACAACTACACGACTGCATTCTAATAGCAACAGTACGTACTAATAGACCCCTATATGCACACACAAAGTTTAAACAGAAACACGCTTACATTGAAATGCACAAACATTGCACACAAATGCAACCCTGCAAGGATGGGCAAATGGCAGATTCCCAAGCATCTTTGGATTTGCACAACAGATATTTTTTCATAATTTTTCCACTGGACAGGGGCCCAAAATTTCTTGCACCAGTACCTTTTAACATTAGTTCCGACACTTCCTATAGTGTTTTTTAAATTCACTTAAAATTCTCACTTTAGTAAACAACACTTTTCGGCAAGTTATTAGTTCTTAACTGCTATTCTTAAACTAAATAATAGTATTAGAGTACTGTTTATTTGAGAAAATACAAGAACATATAACCAAATGACATGTGCTTTATTCTCCAGAAGCAATATTTTTGGAAGCTGCTTCTGTTGCTTTGGTACTTTGTTGCTTTCTCAGTCCACTGAACAGTGTTTGTGCTACAGAGTACAGCATCCCCAGTGCCCCAGTCTCCAGACTTGATTTAGAGCCCAATCCACATATTTACCTCTGTTATGGGTAAGGATTAAAATGTATGGTTAAGCTAGTGGTTGCAGTTGAGTTTCTACATTTAAAATGTTGTGGAGTATGAGTTAAATGCCCATATTTGGGTTAGGATAGTATACATAATGTTATCCAGTGCCTAAATTTGTGTTGGAAACACCCAGATACATAGTTGCCAGAGCAGGAGACTGTTTTGAACTGTACCCAGTGTCGATGTATGGATTAGAGTGTTAACCGCCTGTATTTGCTTTCTTAAAATAGTTAGATTACATTTGTGTACCTCGTTTAAGTGAGCTATAAAGACACTATGCCCTAATTAGTGCAGACCCGTTACAAACCAGACATTATCTTTGTGCATTTATGGTGCTTCTTAATTTTACATATGCAGATGATTTTCTTTTCTTTCATTGAAAATATTCAAAACTGTTTAATGCAAAATATTGTGAAAAGAAAATGAGGAAAATAGTGTAATAAATTATAAGGGTATTTCGCCTACGTGACAAAACGTTGCGCTGCAACAATCAGCATCTCTTCGTTGAATCAATGCATCTCTATGGGGAGTATTCAGCACCTCCACGCAGGGTGTTGCGATCCTGATAGGTGCTGCACTGACTCATGAAGCACATATAGTGGCCATCTGAGTGACTGCACCTAGAGGTGTTTCAAGCCAGCAATGTAAAAGTGTTTACAGGGTTTTTTTTGTTTTGTTTTTTTAGAAATGCTGCAGGGTAAGCTTTTATGCTCCAAAATCATTTCATTGAGATGAAGTAATTTTGGTGCTTAGACTGTCCTTGTGTTTTCCTGCCTCTTCATTGGACCATGGATCTTCTTTACTCATCGGGTCATGTAACTATTTTTGTTCACAAAGCACCTGTATGTCCTATTCATGTGAACCCTCATTGTCATAAATTCAGTTTTCCAGCGATTAAGATGTTCATTGAGACTTATAATGGATAAATAGTATGTATATCTTTATACTCTGGAGAGTAATTCGTATAATGTGTGAGTGTTTTTTTTGTTGTTTTTTTTTTACTTTCAGGGATGCTCTTAGCTGGTTTTCTCATAAGAAATATACCTTGGGTCACTGACCTTGTGCAGATTAAGTATAAATGGTCTGCTGCTTTGAGGAACATTGCTTTAGCCATCATCCTGATACGAGCTGGACTTGGACTGGACCCCATGGTAAGAGACACCTTATTTAGTACTTAAAGATACGTGCATCACTTGACAATTATGTTTTTAAATCAGCAAGCAAACACAAATATACACCAAAATAAAACATGAAAAAGTTTGAAAAGTATATAATACTTGTTTATAAACTTACAATAAACTTGGTCAGATTGCATTATTGGACACACCTCTCAGCTGGAGTAATGTCTTCCGCCCTCCCCCCACCCAACCACAACCTATCTCTGTTTTAAACCAATACGCTAATGACAGAAATGGGGCATCATTGTGCAAACAGGAGAGAGAAACCTGACACTGGAGACTGCTCTGCATGATAAGACTCTCTTCTCTTCTCCCATCAGGATGTTGCACATATGTAAATCTGTCAGACAAACCAAAAGCTTTTTTGCAGCATTCCGAGGCATAAAAAAAAACTGATTAGTTAGTTCAGTGTTCTCCCTGGAGTGGGTGTGGAAAGTATAAGAAAGAAGAAACATGTAAATATGAAAAAAAAATCAGTATTTTCAAAGTTTAATTTTTTCATTTTTTAAAATTGCACAAATTTGTAAATTGTGAAAAAACCCTGTCTGGCCCCCTTTAACAAAACCCCTCTCCTGCCCGCCGTTCTACAAAACACATGTCCTGCCCCCATTCTACAAAATCCCTGCACCCCCCTGTGACAGACCCATATGTCTTTAAAATACTTTTATTCCTCCTTGGTTCGTCTGTTTGTTCGGTTAAATGCCTGTCCGTACACCCCGTTCGTTTATTTCCTTAACTACCGAATGAACTGCTGAATAGCCGGCCACCCAGCATGGAAGTGTGCTGCTGGTTAACCTCTTGGCCTCAACAGAACGTTGTGGTTAACCACAAACACGTTCTAATTGATAAGGGTAGGCTGGGTGGTCGTCATTTGTGTGCCGAACACGAGGCGGCGGCCACCTTGGACATACGAATGCCCCCCGGTGTTCGTTGAGAATCTTATGGAACTAAAAACGGACACTGAATTACACGAACACCGCTGAAGCCGCTGACCACCCCCCTTACGGTGGATTCTGTATACGAACGACATCCTGTTAGGTAGTTTTAATTCACGAATGGACTCACCTCAGATAGCTATCCCATGGCGATTGGACTACGTGTATGGGATCTGAGCGCTATTTGGTAATAATGTGCGCTCAGATCCAAGCTATCTGAGGATATGTTGAACCCATATATTTTCTTCAGTTATTGTAATGTTGTTATATAATTTTATGTATTTTCTCCACCATGTGTAAAATGGAGTTTGGCCTCTATCCTGGGAGATAATTGAGTGACTCCCCAATTATCTCCAGGATAGAGAGGAGGGTTCTGTACAGCAAAAGGTGAATGTTTATAGCCCAAGTGTTTCTATTGGCTACTGTATTATATTTGTCCCAGTTTTCCACCAGGTCCCCTAGGGGAGTGTCCACCTGGTGGAATACCGCATAAATACCAGGCAGGTAGCCCAGATTAAACAGATCTCTGCTTAACCCTCAATACGGAGCTTGGTCTCGTACTTGGGGGTATTGGATTCGTATGGTTTACTCGTTCGGCTGTTTGGTTCGTGAAGGATTTCGTATGGTTCCTGTTCAGCTAATTGCAGCTTTCGTGAGCTGCTTCTCTAATCGGAAAGGGAACATCGTCAGCGGTATTAACCCCTCTTATACTGGGGTGTACCGTAACACCCCCTTCCACAAATACCCTGCTTAGCCCCCTTTAAACAAATCTCTGTCCCCCTGTTACAAACCCCTGCACCCCCCTTCCATTAAACTCCTGCACGTCCCCTTCCCCCAAAAAACCTGCCTCTCCTTCTAAAGCCCCCGCTTAGCCCCTTACAATAGAATTAATTTTTTTACACAATAAAATTAGCAACAGTCCCAGGCATATAGTCACTCGCACACAGTCACACACACGGTTACAGGCAGACAGTCACACAAACAGTTACAGACAGTCACACACACATACTTACAGGCAGCATTCCCCAATCACAGGCAGACACACACACACAGTCACAAGCAGGCACTCATACAAAATCACAGGCAGACAATCTGTTACTTACAGACAGCTGCTGGTTTGGCTCCACTGCCGATTAGCTCCGCCGCCATTCTTTGATGCGGCCGGTTTTGAAGTTCTGCGGCTGCCTGTGTGAGTGAGCTGTGCGACTGCCATGCAGCCCTGGTCATGGCACCCACTTTGTTAGTGTCCCCCCACCTCTGCTTATCACTGCCATTAAAAACTCTTGACTCTAGATAAGCATGTGCCTATATTCTTAGGTGTTTATTCTGTAAACAGTAGGTTGTTAAAGTAATTTATAGAAGATTTCAAATTTAACTGGATGTGTAATTTCTGATGTAAAATATGCAGCTTGGTTTTTTGCAGGTTTATTTACTAAACTGTGGGTTTGAACAGATTTTAAATTAATTTTAGCCGAAAGTAGCAAAACTAAAATGATTTTTTCTAATTCACACTTAGCTATTATAGTCTTTACTCACTGTGTCCAGCTCTAGTAATTTGTTGGTTCTACATACGTGATAATAATAGTAAAGTACCAATCTGTTTTCTGTTTTTTTTGTTTTGTTTTTTTTTTGTGTTTTTTTTATTTTTTAAATTCATTCTTCCAGGCTTTGAAGAAGCTCAAGGCAGTGTGCTTGCGTCTGTCCCTTGGTCCATGTGCAATTGAGGCTTGCTCGGCTGCTCTTCTTTCGCATTTTCTCTTGGGACTGCCCATAACATGGGCATTTATGTTGGGGTAATTATTCATTATGTACTTGCTTATCTTATATTTGGCATACAGACGAATAATTTTTAATTTTACTTATATCTGTATACTCCAGCAAACCTATAATTATAACGTCCAAAAATGGGATTCTTATCTCAAACTCCTATTAGAATTGTTTAGGGGGGTGTTGAAAGTTGAATTCCTAATACTATAGGACCCTCTGATTTCCCCCATCCGGCACATGTCTTTCGACACTATCTGATGGGGGGGACATAATACGCACGCACAGGGCACACCCCGCTCGCTTTAGGCCTTCCTTTTCTCATAAGCTGGACCTCTTCGTGCAGGAAGTATCTCTAGTGACTCTCCGAGAGACCATTTTTAGTGACTCTCCGAGAGACCGTTTTTACAGATCAATTAGCTGTATTAAGCTGTTGTCCTTGTGCTATCCCTTTAATATGTATGGTGATAGTTTAATTCAAACAATAAATCTGTTAAAATGAACAGATAGTAACAGAATGTAATTCTTTGATTCTTGGCATCTGAACTTGGCAGGAAACCATGGTAGCTTTAGACTGCTTCAAGGTTAGATGTTTAGTCTACAAATAGTTGCAAGATTCATCTAAATGTAGTAAGAACTTGCAGGCATGTGGCATGGAAAAACTCTTACAATGTTCTACTATACACTATTGTTACATTAGAGTAATAGAGACATCTGCCCTGTGTGAGAATAATGTATTATGCAATTATCATCCTAAAAAAAAAAAAAAAAAAAAAGGTAGCCAATGGAAACTCAATCCCTGGACTGGTGGGGGTTATCCCGGTACTCACTGACTTGTTAATCGTCTCTTGGGACATAAGGCTTACAGTGTACTGTCCTCTAATCACTACAAAATGACTACTAAACTGCAGTGCAGACGAATGGAGGCACCTGATTACACACCCCAAGCTTTGGGCTACAAAGCCATATTCGACCAGCAATGCAATCAGTTTTGGGAGACCCTAGCCAAAAGTGGTACCCACTATCGGACAAACCTCCAGGGCCCTGTGCAGCTGTCCAAGTAGCAGTGGAGAAATCTGCCACCATTTGTTCATGCTCGTGAACACCCAAATCACAAGCAGGTCGGGAAATCCACTTTCTACTCCATGCACTGATCAGAAAGGGCCCACTCAAAGCCCAGTTATCCACCAGCAGTTGAAAGATTCCACACATTGTGGGCATGCTGGACTGTGGACTACATGATGCCAGACCAGTAAAATGGGGGTGCCTGTGATATGTGGACAATGGCACTGGTCTGCTGGCTCTTTCATCCAACCGAGCAGGGCTTTCTGACTATGAGCTCAATGTCTTGCCCAATTGCTGGTGCTGATTGGGACCCTGACCTTCCTGTATAGACTGGGGGTTGTATGACATAGCATGATGATTGTATGGTGGAATGCCTACATGTTTCAACCCAATATGCAATATATGGCTTAGCCAGCTAGTACTTGTTAGGAACTCATACTTTTATATGATGTAATCTTTGCAGCCCACACATTTAATGTTGTATATATTGAAAATAATTTCTCACTATATTCATGTCACTCTCAGTGGAAAATATATTGGCATTTCTTTCTGTTCTAAGCTACTTTAAGCGACTATCCTCTCCATAATTCATAAAATTAGATGTCTTTATGTGCTATGGGATTTGTCTGCTTCTTACTACTATGTTCAAGTTTGAAATATATATTTATTTATTTTTATTTATTTTTTATTAGCTTTGTCTTAGGGGCTGTATCTCCTGCTGTTGTTGTCCCTTCAATGTTGATATTGCAACATGGAGGATTTGGGGTTGAGAAGGGTGTCCCGACCTTGCTAATGGCTGCTGGAAGCTTTGATGACATCTTGGCAATAACAGGCTTTAATACTTGCCTAGGCATGGCTTTTTCATCAGGTAAATACTCTTATTATTGTAAGGGTTGTTAAAACTTGCCATATCACTTTATTTTAAAGTTAAACCGTCCTATTTCTACATTGTGATAAATAGGAATGTATGGTTTTCATTGTTCTACTCTCTGTGAAATGTAACTTATAAATTAAAATGTAACCATATTCCCAGCATATTTTATTATTTATATTTTTGCAGTGCAAAAGATAGGTGCAAACAGGCTCGAGGTACCCCAACGGCAATCCTCTAGCGTCATATCAAGCTTTACAATTGGGTAGTAGATTGGATGTGCACAAGTTTATATTATAGTAATCAACAGTTAATAACAAAATGAACGTGAGCAATTTAGGAGAGACACTGCGCATCTTATGACATACAACTTTCTATGCATATAGGGAATGGCACATGGTAGAACAGTGATGTCGGGTTAGATAGACTGCTTGTTGCGTAATTAACGCAACAAGTTGTCTACCGCAAGTCCGCCTTTTGCCGGTTATAGCAGTGTGTGCAACTTGCGCATATGCAATATAATTGAGAATAACCCCCCAGGCCACACTCCTAAAAAAAACATAGCTACATTGTCCGTGGGAGCACAGGAGTTCCCCCCCTGCCCCCCCCCCCTCCCCTCCATAGCGTAGGTAGAGTTATGGTGAAGAGTATTGGCAAATAACATAAAAAGAGTAAAACACAATAAACACTTTGTTTTGGGAGTGGAATCTCGCTGCTCAGTGAACGGAATGGTTAAAGGACCACTATACTGACAGGAAAACATACTCGTTTTCCTTGCACTGTAGTGCCCTGAGGGTGCCCCCACCCTCAGGGTCCCCCTCCCGCCGGGCTCTGGGGAGAGGAAAGGGGTTAAAACTTACCTTTCCACAGCGCCGGGCTCTCCGCCACTTGAGCTTCGAAGCGCATTCTGGGTGAGGTGCCCCATCTGTCCTGAGATCTTCAGCATTATAGCTTGTAGTTTCGTTGGCTGCTTTGCCCAGTTGGGGCCCCTCTGGCTGCATCTCGGTCTTGCGCCTTTCAGGGTACAGAGCTCTGGCTGGCTTTTGTCCCGTGGGTTGTGATGGTGCTGGAGGTTGGGGTCTATTCTCCAGGCGTTTCCAAAATTGCCTGCATCTGGCGTCAAATCTTGCCTGGAAGGCTGCTGCCCAATCACTGGGAGTCTGTCACTTTGCCGTCAGCCATCTTGGTCAGGCCTTGTGTCTCCCGCTAATCAGATATGCGCCCTGAAGCGATTTGTAGGTGAGTACTCTCTGTCTGGGAGTAAACCGGGATGACCCCCGCCGGTCCAGCGTGGGGGACAACGATGAGGGCTCTTGTGCTGAAACTTAGTTTGTCATGGCAGCGGAGAAGCGGCCGTCTCCCCGCGCCCGCCATGCTTGTAGGCCTCATACTCTTGTTGGATACGTATAGCTCGAAATCTCTCTTGAGTGGTGTCAACGTGTGCAGCTGAATGTCACCTCTCTGTTGGCTTTCTCGTGTCAATAAATTTTAGTTTGAGCATTGAAAGTCTTCTTTAATCGCTGCATGCAGTAGGAGCTGCTGAGGTTTGCTTCCTCTCATCTCTGCAGTCAGGCCCCGCCCCTCTCCCAGCAGATTTATATGCACATCTAACTAGGTAGCCAGCTTTGAATAACGTCACAATTTTCAAACCCTCTGTAACTGAATAAAAAAAGAAAACCTTGCATAGAGCATGTGATCTCAGCAACTAATGAGAATCTGATTTGTATCTCTCAGAATGTTAACGGCACAGGAACGCTAAAGTGTTATTTCTTTGAGTGATGCTGGATGGCCACTATGCCCAAGCGTAAGCAATGTTTGCCTACAAATCTTTTATCAGAAACCTTCTACAGAAACTTTGTGGAGAAATGCTAAAGACAGTGGCAATTTAAAGGAACAGTGTAATACACGAACAGTATAATATTTATATACATACTCTTCACCGCAGTCCAATATATCTACTGTGAAGCAGTTGATGTCTGTCTAATCAAATGCTATTGCTGCGATAAACCAATCCAGGGCTGACACCTAATGTAAAAATAGGTTAAATTGTGGAATTTATTTTAGTATTAAGACCCTAGTGTGTCTAAATGACAGCAACCAGAGGGAACTGTAAAATGAAAATAGTGTTGCTACTCAAAACTAACACTTTTCTACTATGACAGAGCAGGGGCAACATCTATGCCCCATAATCACTTGCACAAGAAGTGATTTTGCTGCTTAGACCCTTTATGTGTCACATTATGAATCTGGGATTACCTAGGGGCCTGTTCAGAAATGGTTATGTTAAATGGATAACCTAAGCACCAAGTTAAATTTAGCTTAATGAAGCAATTTTAGTGTTTAGATCATGCCTTATGTAGTCTCACTGTCGAGTCCTCTGACATTTAGGAGCTAAATCACTTTTGTTTCTGTTGATGCAGCCCTAGGCACATCTTCCCTGACTGTGACTCACACAATGTACTGAAAAAAACAAACAAAAAAAAAGACAGTTTCATTATTAATCAGATGTGACACCACAGTGTATTTACTGTAGAAGTTTTGATGTCCTGCTCTGTTAATTGAAATTCAATCACACACATGAGGCTTTGGCACCCTCTTGTTATTAACAGAACAGGAGATAATACATTCTAAATAAAACAGACTGTTCTATCAATTAAGTTAAAGCATTGAATCTCTTTAAAGAAAATGTGTAGTGAGTCTGTAGGTTACATGCAGCGGAGGTGTGTCTAGGGCTCCATAGACCAAGTGATTTACCTCCTAAAAGCAGATGATTGAGTAGTTAGACTGCAAGGGCATAATCTACACACCAAAATCACTCCATTAAGCTAAAGTTGTTATGTTGCTTATTGTGACACAGCTCCCATACCCTGACTCAGTAACTCCGCCAGGTCAGCTTCCTCTCTACCAGGGACTCCGGAGTGCTTCAGACCCAGTCACTAAAGTCAGTGGTGTATCCTGGTTTTGTGCTGCCCCCGCGCGCCTGCCCCCCCAACCCTTCCCCCCCGCCTTCTAAATACACACACACACATTCAGACAGATACACATACACTCGCTAACAGAAACACACAGACACACTCACTAACAGACACACACTCACTGACACACACACAGGAAAACACACTCACACTAACAGACACACACAGGCAGACACACACACACTCACTGACACACAGTCAGACACACACATACACTAACAAACACACACTCACAGGCAAACACACTCACACTAACAGACACACACACATACACACACAAACACTAACAGACACACACTTACAAACACACAGTCAGACACACTAACACACTAACAAACACACACACACATTAACAGACACACACTCACAGGCAAACACACTCACACTAACAGACACACACACAGTCAGACTGTGGGGATATTTATGGGATAATAATAGTAACAGTGAGAATTGCCCACTAATTCAATTCTCAGATCCCAAAGAACGTTTATTGTGTTAAGTGAGAAGTATTTCATATAAATAATATCACAATTTTTGTTATAAAAATAGATTTATTTATAATAACAAATTAATTAATAATAATAATAATAATAATAATAATAATAATAATATGCAACATGCATGACAATAATCAATGAATATCCAGTATAAAATGGTATGCAATACAAAGGAATGGCTAAACACGTTTCAATGGCTAAACAGCATTATCTGTCAAGTCTTCTGACGATTTATGACTATCTTTCACAGGGAGAAAGTGAAGCTTTTCACAGCGAAGGGCCATAAAACCCTGGCTAACAGTTAGAATAACCCTTTCAATGCTGGCTAGACCTCCTAGGTAATTAAGATCTATTCTTATGTAAATTTTAAATAAAATAACATTTAAACCAGTTCATTAGTCATTTCCTGGAACCATCCAATAAGAGAATCTATCATGATTATATAAGCAGATTTTAATTTGTCTAAAAGATATCTATCTTATATTAGAGCAAATCAATACACCTGGATAAAAACAACGGTATGCTACCACGTGATAATATCACATCAATATATAATTATTCTTAATTCCACCTGCAGAATGGAATGTTTATAACTATATATTCTTTAGTTAACTAAGATTTCTTAATATGGAAATCTGACCGTGCTTTATCCTAGTCATATATAATGCTATTAGTAAATTTTAATTAATTTAATTAATTAAATGAAACCAGTATAATTACCAGTTGAGTAGATATTTCATCCGATTGGTAGATAGTCCCAGGAACTTATTTGGATGTCTGTAGGTGCATGGAGTTATGGTGAAAGGTGGTGTTGGTTAGAAAGTCAGTAAAATTCTAAGTGTTAGAGTTTTAAGAGTAGAGTGTTAGTCTCAGATGTTGTCCTGGGTTTCTCTGCATGTCCGAGTTGGAGTCCCCCAAACTTCCAATTCCTCTCTCCTCTTTTTCCTTCTCCTTTGCATTCCTCAATCTTCCCTTTGTCCTAACTTTTAAAGGGCCAGACTCTCTGTACGTCATCAGTTGATAACCCAATAGAAGCACTAGAGGTGTGGTTATCTTCCAGATCGCAATTTAGGTATTTGGTCTATAGAGGGCAGTCTTGTCCCACTAAACATACCTATCCAGGAAAGAGTTAACTTTTCCTGGTGGCTATTTTGACGTCATTTTGGCCTATCTCTATCTTTGCTATAACTTAGATTGCTGTCAGATAAAAACAGTTTCTTTAAGTTTTGTCCAGACTATGTGTCTGCAAATCTGAGTTTTGACCCGTAACTTACAATGGGACCTTATACATATAGACAGTCTATCCAACCCCCGTTCTTCTTATCACTTGTTTATACTATGCATTCCTTTAGCTCTGGCAAAGTGGTTAGTTTTACAGAAAGAAATCTTGTGTCTTTTTGTTAACTTGAAAATAACAAAATGGAGTCTGCTCTGTTCAGAGTGACTCAGAATATACACTTTTAATTTCTATCATAGCACAAGATGTTTGCCGATATAAATACCCTGACAAGACACACACTCACAGGCAAACACACACTCACTAACAGACACACAGTCAGACACACACTCACACAGTCTAACACACTAACAAACACACACACATTAACAGACACACTCACAGACATATACACACACTCACTCACATTAACACATTTTAATTTTTTTTATTTAATCCACCCCCCCCCCCAGCCTCCTTACATTTGGGAATGCTGGGGGGGGTTCTGTCTCTCCCTGGGGTCCAGTGGCTGCTAGGCTGCTGGCGAGGGAGCACTTCCTCTGAGCGGTCCACTCAGCTCCCTCGCCCGTCGCAGAGTGAGGCTGGGAGCCGGAATATGACGTCATCTTCCGGCTCCCAGCCTCACTATGTGGCGCGCGAAGGAGCTGAGCAGACCGCTCAGAGGAAGAGCTCCCTCGCCAGCCGCCCGCCCAGCACGTCTGTTAGCCGCGAGGCTAACTAGGCATTTGCCCTGGGCATTTGGGGGCAGCGTTTTTTGCCGCCCCCTGAAAAATGCCGCCCAAGGCAAATGCCTAGTTTGCCTCGCGGCCAAAACGCCCCTGACTAAAGTGTGATTAGGGTCTCTGAGGACCTCTTCCACTGGATCAGGCTGTAGCCCTCTTATTCCAGACAGGCATCGCCCTCTCTGCCTCTTCCAATCCTCTGACAGGCAGACATCTATACCTCTGCATACTGTGTCTCTAACTGTTACCTTTACAAAGGCACTTGTGGTCTAGATCTTTCTTAACTTGTCCCAGGCATCAAGGACCAGTGCAGTCGGCCAACAAGTCTGAAAACTCTGTCACAAACCAAACAGGATACACAATTCCCAATGGAACCAACACACAATACGTTATTTTGGACAAGGACTACTCTGGTAACTGGTCCTTAACTATGTGGTGAAATCCTTTATAAATATAAACAAGCATACATAACTTGAAGATGAAACCTCATGCATCAAATATATAACACAATCACAACTTTCAAACCTATGGAGATACACAGATGCAACTGGTCAGTTATTTGTAATTTCCTAATTTGCATATTGTGATAATACAAATCAATAATTTTCCAGTTTCACCAACAGAGGGTGCTAGAGAGTCATCACAAGTCAGAATAAAATCCAGTTTTAAAACAAGGCACAACTTTGCAATAGTGCCAAACCCAAACCAGTGTGGAAAGCAGTCCGAATGGCCCCTGTCTACCTGCCTCCCTGAACAGAACCCCTTCCCGACCAAAGCCCATAGTTGGTGGAAGGAGGCTGACCTGCAGTCCTCTTTGAGTGCCAAGGTAATGGAGGCTTTATTTGCACTTAGATCTGTTTTTATTTCCTCCTTACTCAAGAAGGGACTACTTTCTTATATCTCCACCATGGAAAAGAACTAGGATGACATTTTGCCACCTTGTGAGTACTAGCACATTATTGTTTTCTAGTTATGGTTTTCAGCTTCTCGTCTCCAATGTGGGTTACCTTTCTTTATTATGCATAGTGTCTGATTCTTTGTTATTCTTAAAATGGAAATGCTTATCTGGTGTATTTGGTTATGTAGCCCTGATTTCCATCCTGCTTTCGATATCTGCTTACTTTCGAATAAAATAATTTTGGGGGAAAATATCCACTGGATAAAATCGTTTGGCAAATTCACTGTTCTAAGTTTCCTCGTGTCTCTCAATGGCTAAGACAGTGTGCTGACATTGTTCCTGATGGTTAAAGTAAGTCAATTGCAGACCTCCCAACCATCCTGATTTTAGCAGGACAATCCCAATTTCTGTCCTGTCTCACCACCTCCTCAGCTATTGGCTAATTGCAGGAAATTTGATATTGTTTTTTTGGAATTCATGTTCCCAAAATGCCAGCAAAAGTGTAACCTATTAACTATTATATATATATTAACTATTGCTTAGTCTTTTGTACATTGTGGGAGAGAGACAAAGTAAGGCGAGGCGTAATTTACAATGTAGAGGTACTAAATCCAGAAATTTGTTTTGTGGAAGGTAAAGACCAGAAATGTAGTAGTGGGGAAGGTAAGTGAGCTTAATTTTATTATAGTTTATTTTCATTGCAAAGCAATGAAAGCCAAATGCTATATACTGGGTTGAGCGTGAAGTGGGTTAATCCATTGTGCACAGCTGAAAACTAGGCTTTACGTCGGTAAGAAGTAATAACATTGATGTTCTAAAATCTTTTATTCTTAATTTGCAGCACACTGATTTAACACAACATGTGATGTGTTTTCACAGGCTCCACCATTAACAGCATTGTCAGAGGAGTACTGGAAGTAGTGGTTGGCATATCTGCTGGACTCCTTTTGGGATTTTTTCTTCACTACTTTCCAAGCAAAGATCAGGTGAAACCAGATTTCTTCTCCGCGTCTAATCCTATGCTGACATGCATTCAGTGACCAAATACTTTGGTGGGTACACTGCTGAAATGCACATGGTGTCGGTAGCAGATAGAAATGTTTTTGGCAAAAGTAAAAATAGATTTCAGTGGGCGAGTGTTGTTTAACCTTTTATGAACCACTGAGTATTGGAAATAAGGTCCTTGCTTATTCGGATTTTAAGGTTTCCAATTTTTGTTGAATTTTTGCAGAATGTTGAGTAAAAGAGCTGACTTTGGCTATTACCTTTATAGATATATAATATGCCACTATATGTACACTATCTGTAATATAAGAAACACCTTGCTTCACCCCATTTTACACACTCATTTTACCAAGTCTCTGCTGGGGTCTATCTAAACAAGAATGTATCAACATTTTTTCAAAATATGTATTCTGGCTGCAGGATGATACTGTGGCCCAACAGGCAGGACTAAGTAAAACACGGAAACAATAGAAAATATAAATAAACGTGTTACCAGCTAATGTAGAACGAATAGTCAGTAACTAGCCGAGGTCAGAAACGCAGACAGAAGCATAAACGAATGGACAAAGCCAAAAGGTCAAGGATACCAGAAGTACGAATAGTCAGGAACGAGCCAAGAAAGAATGCTCTCTCAGATAACAGCTAGTGGATATCATGACAGGGCAATGAGTAAAACAGTAACAGGGGGTGTAAAAAGCCCTAAACGTTATTTCATTGGTTAGTATAGGTCATGTGATTCCAAAATGTACGTGCGTGTCGATGACACAACGCCACTTCATGTTCGCGTGACTTTTAACCTGGCCGAAGGCGGGGTTACTAAAACCCCATGGGAAAACAGCAGCTGGCGTAAATGAGAATGGCACACTTGCCAGGGGAAGCGGCACAGGCGGATGGAGCTGTGACCTGCCGTGCCTGAGGTAAGTGTAAAAGATTTTCAGCATGACTGCACTGATCTGGCGTGGTCATGTGTGCTGCCATGCCGTGAGCCATTACACTGGCTTCTGGAGTTTCAAATTACACTGACTTCTGGACTATCTCCACTTTATCCCTGACATCGCTTACTTGGGTAAATATGTGTCAGGATTACAGAACGATCCAGCACGTAGAATTGTATAACACACAATGATAGGTAACGTATACCGGACCTTAGAATGGCTGGACTAACGTACCAAAGAATAGTCAGGAATAGCCGAGGTCAAGGGAAACAGAGACACAACGATAAGGAAAAGCCAGGAGTCAGGGATGCCAGAAAACAGGGAAGTCAAATAACCAGAATTACATGAATCAATAACGCACTCTCGGACAACCACCAGGGAAACCACGACAGGGCACTGAGCATGATGAGAACTGGGCCTAAATACCCCTCCTCTAGATCTGATAGGCTGTAACCGGCCTTTGACCCCAAAGCAGTTACCAGGTTCCATTTTGCATAATTGCTGGTCAGCATTAACCCTTCTGTGGATTTGATTGCTGCTCGGCACTACTTTTCCTGTATGGACAGTAAATGTCATTAACCACATTTTTATAAGCGGATGAATACGTGACAATATGATACTTATATGTAACATGTTTTTAGAACACTGCTTGGTTGGTACCATTTTAGAGGTAATTATCTTAATATTAAGCTGTTTAAAAACATTAGTTGTGATCTCCACCAACGCATGGGAAGAGAATTGGGTGATGTTAATAGAGAACACAACAGTTTACCTCACCTCTGGTCCTCTAGGATGTGGAATGGGACATTACAATTTAAAGGAACATGTATTCCTGACCCTATAGTGTTAAACCCACCATTTAGGCGGCTCCTCCCCCCACACACACACCTTAAAAGGTATTAAGACTCATCTTGTTTCCAGCGCCGTGCGGGTCCACCGGCACTGGCCCCACCTCCAATCCGCCTCCTTGATGACATCCCATAGGGAAAGCATTGGATTGGCTTAAAGCGGCACTGTCATTGCCGAATCTCGTTTTTTTGTGTGTTTTTTTAACCCGCCTCCACTATCTCTAATTGACCCCCTAGTCACCCCCAAATGCCACTAAGCCCCCCATATTATCAATTTTTTCATCTTTATTTTCTGCCCCGATCTATATTCAGGGTGCCACCATCTTTGTGTGGGTAGATGAAGTCCCTGTGGGACACATCATCTGCCCACACTAGATAGCACTGAGATTTCCGCACATGCCCAGTTAAACACTTGGACATGCGAACGGGAATTTCATCTATTCATTCATTCGTCAGAAAGACGAATGAATGAATAGAAATGTCAGACGAACAAACAAACACTGAATATCAGTTTTTGTTTGTTCGTTCAGTTTATTACAAGGAGGGAGCTACCGGCACGCAGCTCCCTCCTTGTAATATGTAAAGAGAGAAGTGGCAGGGAGCAGTGCTCCCTGCCACTTCATAAGCCCCCAGGTCCCTCCTCACTCTATGGTGGTCAAAATCTCCCCAATGCCCCTACTCGCTATACCGCGAATAGGGGCATGTCCACTAAACAGTGAGCAGCCCGTGGCTGCTCACTGTTTAAAAAAAGAAAACTACTATCCTAAAAAACAATAAGGGGGGAGACCTACTGTCTTCCCCACCCCTGAGAGGTGGGTGGGGGCCCTAAAAAAAAAACAAGGGGGGGACCTACAGTTCCCACCCTGGCCCCCACCACTGAGCGGTGGGTGGGGGCCCTAAAAACAATAAGGGGGGACCTACTGTCCTCCCCACCCCTTAGCAGTGGGTGGGGGCCCTAAAAACAATAAGGGGGGGACCTACTGTCCTCCCCTTGGCCCCCAACCCTGAGCGGTGGGTGGGGGCCCTAAAAAAAAAAAAACAATAAGGGGGGACCTACTGTCCTCCCCCCCCGGCCCCCACCCCTGAGCGGTGGGTGGGGGCCCTTAAAACAATAAGGGGGGGACCTACTGTCCTCCCCCTCATGGCCCCCACCCCTGAACAGTGGGTGCAGGGCCCTAAAAACAGTAAGGGGGGGGACCTACTGTCCTCCCCCCGGCCCCCACCCCTGAGCGGTGGGTGGGGGCCCTAAAAAAACAATAAGGGGGGGACCTACTGTCCCCACTTAGTATTAGTAAAGTTGTCTGAAAGACCAATTTAGGTCTTTCAGCATTTTAGTAGATAACTCCCTGATACCGTGGGAATTAGGGAGTTAACTACTAAGCGGCTGCAAGATGCAGCCACAGCACAAATAGGATCGGAGTTTCATTCATTAGAATGAAATTGCGATCCAAACAAAGTCCCGAATTGCATCTTAACACGAATGGAGAAACTTCTTATTCTGTTAGGATGCAATTCTGCAGTTTTGTCGGCGTTCTGTCTAAGTGACAGGACGTTCGGCAATACTGACAGGGAGTATCGTAGGAACAGGGAGGAGAGCTAAGGATCATGGGAATATTGCTCTGACCAGCAGAAATGAAGCACACTTTGCTCCTCCGCTGGTCAAAGCTGGTCAAGCGGAGGAAACCTCCATAAGGCAAAGAGTCCCTACTTTGTCTTATGATTTTAAAGAAAAATAAAGAAGACAGGAAGAAAGGAAGAACCGATCCTGAGAGAAGGGGAGAAGAGGAAGAGATTGAGGAAAGGTAAGTTCGGCAAGCATTCAACCTCTGTTGCCTATATCAAGGACTCTGCCAGAAAGCAGCAAATCTGTGCACTGGCAACAAATGGTATTGTTAAGGTATGTGCCATGCCCGTTGTATCTTGCACAGCATGTAAATTAAAATAAAATATGAATAGAAAATTAACCTATTCAGGTTTAACATTTTATTTTAAAAGCACTTTGAGTTGGCTATATGATTGTGCTAAAATATCAGAAGTAATAGTGCCTCTTTAAATCCTGGACTTTCTCATATAACTCAAATTGAAGATAATCCTGGGCACATGAGTGTAGTTGATCCTTCTGGAATCTGAAAAATGTTTAAGTGATTGTAGAACATTAAAGCCATGTTGACATTGTAAGCAGCTGTGCGTTCTGGGAAAAAATTTTAGTTTTATCTGCTTTAAGTTTTTAAGGGGGGTGTTTATGGTTGTGAAATCAAAGCTCAGAGACCACAGTTTTCCAAGTGTTCTTTAGAATGTTATTATTTCTTATTGTGTTTTAGGTTATTTTCTCTTTCATTTCTAGGAACTATACTCTATCTCTATTTATTTCTATCTCCCTATCTATGGGTCAGGGTCCACCCACACTACTCCCCCCTCCCCCCCTCCGACATCATCCGGCATGGGAGACCTATTGAGCATGCATGGCCGGCGGCGGGGAAGACCTAATGCGCATGCGCGGCAATGCCGCACACGCGCATTAGACCTCCCCATACGAAAGCATGGACTAATGCTTTCAATGCTTTCCTATGGGAGGACATCCAGCAATGTTATGGCACACTTTTCGTGTTCTATAAACACGGATGTGTCCTCTAGTGGCTGTCTAGTAGACCGCCACTAGAGGAGGACTTAACCCTTGAGGTAAATATTGCAGTTTATGAAAACTGCAATAATTACACTTGCAGGGTTAAGGGTAGTGGGAGTTGGCACCCAGACCACTCCAATGGGCAGAAGTGGTCTGGTTGCCTGGAGTGTCCCTTTAACTCACTATCTATCTTGCTCACTCTCACTAACTCCCTCACTCATTAACTCTCTAACTCACTAACTCTCTCACTAACTCTCACTCACTTTCACTCTCTATCTCATGCTCACTCACTCTCACTAACTCTCGCTCACTCTTACTCTCACTCTCGCTCACTTTTACTCTCACGCTCACAATCTCTCTCACTTACTCTTTCACACTCTCTCTCTCTCTCATGCTCATATTCACTCACTTTCACTCTCTATCTTATACTCACTAACTCTCTCACTAACTCTCTCACTCATTAACTCACTTACTCTCTCGCTCACTCACACGCTCACAAACACTCTCACTAACTCTCACTAACACACTCACTCTCTCACTCATTCTTTCACTCTCATCCATACTCACACACTCACTTTCACTCACTCTCACATACTTTCACAGTCACTCACTTTCACTCCCACTCACTCACACTCAGTTACTCACTTTCACACACTCACTTTCACTTACTCACTCTTTCTCACTCACTCACCCACTCACTTTCACTCACTCTCACTCATTTTTAAAATTAGTTTACTTATGGTTGGTTTGGATCCTCCTGCTTGGTCTCCTGCCTTCTCTCTTCAGCCTGTCAGCCTGAGCCGACGCTGTGTGCTGGAGATGTTTATCTCCCACACTGTCGGCTCTTATTGCTGACAGGCTCCGCGTTACTACAGAACACAGGAGGCGCGTTCACAGTGCCTCCTGTGTCCTAATAGCACGTTTGATGTCTTCAGCTAAGCGTGAAGACGTCAAACGTGAGTCCTGTGCGTCAGGCAGGACTTGACTCGGCAGTTCCTATGGTGGCCGTCTGAGTAACTGCCACTGGAGGTGTTCCTAGGTTCTAATGTAAACACTGTATTTTCTCTGCAAATACCGTGTTTACATGAAAAAGCCTGCAGGGAGCTGTTGTACTCACCTGAACAACCCTATTAAGCTGAAGTTGTTCAAGTGACTATAGTGTCCCTTTAAGAATGACTAGCACATTAGTGGTGTAAAAGGAGTAAAGTTCAGCTGCTACAATTATAATTATGTATGCTTCTATAATAGCCATATAAAGTGTTTGATACTGTGATTCTGTGGGGGACAAATTCTACAGAAATGCGGGCCATAAACATTGCATGGAGTACTGTAACTAGTGTGAACTGAAAAGCCATTCAATTAACAATAACTGAACTCATTTTCATTGAAACAAAATGGTGCGTGGCACTAATGGAACTACTCCATTCCTTAGAAACGTCTTGACCCGAGACTCTCATTCATCTGTGGGGCAACAAAGGGGATACTAGGATGTCCCTTTCTACTTTTTTTTAATGCAATAGACCCTACCCTCTGGCCATGAGTTTGAGTCCAGGGAATGGACAGTGATTTTTTTACAAAATCTATATATGGTTTCAAAGAAACACAAGGCAACAAATAGTCCCACAAATTGTGACAATACTTGAACAGCTGTGAGGCTAGACAGCTTGGCATTATTTCCCATCATTCCCACTCATCCTCCCCCCTCACCGCATGCCACCAATTTTTTTCTTCTTTTTGTCCTCTTCATCATCTTCTCTTCTCTATCTTTCCTTACTCCTCACAGACTCTCTTCCCAGTCTCCTACTTTCAAAACATCCCCCTTACTTGGGAATTAAACTGCATGGCTAATTTGCATCCACCTTCATTGGCAGGTGTCGAACAGAACATCACAGCTAAGACTGCATAGCTATACAGCACAAATTTTGTCTTACGTGTCTACTGTATCTACCATCTACTGGATTTCCTTAATTACGTTTTAAATATGTCTTGTTTTCTGTCATAACTGATTAAATCTTGAAAATAAAGATTGAAGTAAACCACCCATGGACAAATGGTATCCATAAAGAAAAGTAGACATAAATCAAAGCATGTAAACAGGTAATACAGGATCGAATCAGCATCATACATCATGAGTTTGACAAAACTGGAATCTGTGACTGGACAGCTGTTCAGGAACCCCTTATATTCAAATCCAACGGACACATATGCAGAATCAGTGACCCTTTATTACATTCTCTAATGTTACAGAAGATATAAAGTATTCATGAAACTATTATTTTTATTGTACAGGGAAATCTAAAATGGAAGAGGACTTACATTGTCCTGGCTCTGGCCATATTTGCAGTATTTGGCAGTTTGACGTTTGGTTTTCCTGGTTCTGGAGGCCTATGTACACTAGTTATGGCATTTCTAGCAGGCATTGGATGGTCGGCTAATAAGGTAATTATAAGCTGTATAGTCTGGACTACCCTCCAAAGTGTTTACAACAAGCATTGAACAGATTTAATTATTTTACATTAAAATATAACTTTTTTTTAACATTCTACTTCTACATACACCATTTATTTGTATTAGTGTTTATCTTCATTAGGGTGTTATATTTCTTGTAGACTGTTGTTGAAGATGCAATTTCAGTTGCTTGGGACATCTTTCAACCACTGCTTTTCGGTCTGATTGGTGCAGAAATATCTGTTGCATCTCTGAAACCTGAGACTGTTGGTAAGTTGTAATTTGGGTTTCCTAACACTCGTCTTAATGCCTCAGGTAGGAAAAAGGCAGTCATGGTATAAGAGACTAATAATAAATACAAAACCAATAAGTTAACGTTTATGCTCTGATATACACAAAGCACCTAAGGTTAGAAGTGTTCCCTTAAAGACACTCAAAATACAATAGTTACAAAGGAAAAACAAAAAACAAAGGAAAGAGTTGTGTAATTCATCATAAAGTGATAATAAATGGTACAAACTTTGTAATATATAAACAAAATAAAGTGTCAGCGCTATACTTGAAAACCTAATTTAGGTGATCACTCTCAATCTGAAGTAAAACACTTATAAATGCGGATTCATTGAAATACTTCCAAGTGCAATAAAATAAAATACAATAAAACAGACCACCATAAGTGTAGTACTCATATAATCATAAAAAGTCTTGCTATAAAGGAACAGGCCTATACTTTCCGAATAGAGAATGGAACGCCCACAGCAAACCCTACAGCACACCCCGGTAACCCCAACGGCGACGGCTACGGGGGACTACCCCACACCTCCCCACACAACCCAGAAATCTAAACACTGAAAGCAAGCCGACAACAAACAACTACCAACTCCATCCCAGAGAACAGAACCCTACACCCCATAACCCTACACCCTACCCTTCCACCACATGCCCCGAGAGCACGATACGGACACCTGACACCGTGAAGCACAGGCAGAACCCACACACGCTCCCACCCTTGAATAACCGAGGTACACGATGATGGGCCACCAATGGCACATAAGAAAGGAACAGCATGCACAAAACCACAACGCACAGGGATCTCGGCCACAACCGTATAGAGCACCATACACACCCCACCAAATATCACCCCCACTCTCTCTTTTCTGCACCGCCCTCGGTCAACATCAACAATCAACGAAAAGCCATAACCAAATATTAACACTACGAAACCCCCCCACACACACACACCAGGCCCAACCTACGACCGTTCACCTTCAAAACGCACCGCGCAGCAGGTGTAGTGAGTATCCAACTAAGCTATCCCCACTGTTAATCCTTGATAAATGCCAAAATCCTGAAATTTGTTACCACTGTATAACAAAATGTGACTTATTGCTAGCTCTTATATGTACTCACCGAACAGACTACTGTATGATGTGCATTGTACTTGAGACTGCATGATTTCTCAACCCTTAAACTCTTCCTTTCTGTACCCCCACCCCCCCACGAAACAAAAATCTTAAAAGAATTTATTAAAAAAAAAAAAAGTCTTGCTATAGGGTCCAATAAATCTTGGGTGATAATCTTTTACAGGGTTAAGATTAGTCTTGCAGCTATGTCACAGCATCTGTAGATACATTGTTGCACTGTGGGTTTTTAACCTTTAAATGATACAAAAAGACCTATCATAGCGTAATACTGCAATTTAATCAAGTTATCATACAAAATCCTTCCCCCAAATTAAAGACCCTTACATCAGCAAGTTGTGGTACTCGTTTCCAAGATACCACGATATAAACTTTAAAATACACAGAGGTTTGGCAGCCGTTACCATCCATGCACACTCCCACCTGATCTCATCGCTGATTAAATGAATATTCAAACGGAGTGGAGGCTGTGGCTGGCAAACGATGCTGACCGTTAGACATGCATCCACCTCTGGCAGCAGGAAGCTGTTCACACTTCGACGTGTTTCGCCGACAATACCAGGCTTTCTCAAGATAGTGTAACAGTTCATTGGGGCATGCTTATATATGCTCCTGTCTAGTTAATTAGTAAACATCTGTTTGTTTGTTTAATTATTCAGTAAAGGGTGTTGTCTATATCTGAACATTCTTGGTCCACAGACAAAACTCAATTAAAGGACCACTATAGTGCCAGAAAAACATACTCGTTTTCCTGGCGCTATAGTTCCCTGAGGGTGCCCCCACCCTCAGGGTCCCCCTCCTGCCGGGCTCTGGGGAGAGGAAGGGGGTTAAACTTACCTCTTTCTCCAGCGCCGGGCGGGGAGCTCTCCTCCTCCATAGCGATGTCATCGGCTGAATGCGCATGCGCGGCAGGAGCCGCGCGTGCATTCAGCCAGTTCATAGGAAAGCATTTACAATACTTTCCTATGGACGCTGGCGTCTTCTCACTGTGATTTTCACAGTGAGAAGCACTCAAGCGCCTCTAGCAGCTGTCAAGAGACAGCCACTAGAGGCTGGATTAACCATATTATAAACATAGCAGTTTATCTGAAACTGCTATGTTTATTAAAAAAAAAAGGTTAATCCTAGAGGGACCTGGCACCCAGACCACTTCATTTAGCTGAAGTGGTCTGGGTGCCTATAGTGGTCCTTTAACCATTTCAATCATGCTAAAATAAATCCTAAACATTATAACCATAATGTCAGTTTACGAATACAAAGATCCTATGGGGCATGAAAGATAAATACAATTATAATAAAAATTGTTCAATGCAAAATAGACAATAAATACTTGGCTGGAAACTAAAAAAGTGTGTGTGTGTGTGTGTGTGTGTGTGTGTGTGTGTGTGTATATATATATATATATATATATATATATATATATATATATATATATATATATATATATATATATATATATATATATATATATATATCTATATCTCAAAAATGCTGAAAGGAAGAAAGAAATATAGACATATAGTTTCCTTATATTAAGAACCTTTATTATATTAAGAAATTGAGGAGTGATCACTAAGGAGTACTCTCTGGTAGATTAATGGAGTAATACATCAACATGGATTCTTGTCTAAAATATTTAAAAACATACCAAATATATATGTTATATGTGAATATTAAAATTGTAATAAAGATTCATGCTGAAAAGCATCAAATCTTATATATCTTAAAACAAAGTGACTTAAATAAAGATAAAAAATGGACCAAACCAACTTTGTTTCTTTTTGGACATGGCTCACTATAAGTGTTAAGAAACTCCACCATGAGCGTCATATATAGGAGCTAATTATATAATATTTACAAGTTCAAGATCTACATTCATTCCTGACGGAGCCAAAGTTTTCAATCTATAAATCCAGTACATTTCCTGATCAGTTTTTTTTTTTGCTAATTCTCATCCTCTCATGGCAATATTGACCTTCTCAATCCCACAAAATTCTAAACACTGGCATGATGCTCCATAAAATGCCTGGATACTGAATGTTTACCAAATTTCCTTTTAATATTGTAAATGTGCTCATTAAGTCTTATTTTTAACATCCTCTTGGTTTGTCCTACATACTGTAACCCACATGGGCAGCTTAAAAGGTACACAACTTACTTCAAGTTGCAAGTAATGCATTCTTTAATATTAAAAGATTGTTTGGTAACTGAGGATTGAAAGTTGGCGACTTTTTTATTGTAGAGAGAACCGGTCGCTTTACATATGCTGCAGTTCCCACATTTGTAGAAGCCCTTTTCTGAATTAAGAAAATGTTTTTGAGGTTTAGGTGGTCTAAAGCTGTGTACCAGTTGATTTTTTTTTTTATGGTCGGTGCTCCCCTAAATATAATTCTATACATATCATCGATAGCATATAGTTCATCACTTTATATATGCCTAAATTCCAAGATATAACCTATCTTATATAGTTCATGTATCTTAAATTATATACAGTAAATTACAGTAATAACTAATATACATATTCACAAAATATTTTCTCCTCTCTCCTTTCTTTCCCCTTCTCCCTCCCTCTCCTCTTCTTTATCCTTTTACTTTTCTTCTAAAATAGCCCTTATATTATCTACATTGCTTTAACCACTAATAGTGACAGTTATCACTCTAAAGAATATCCCCTTACCAATCATGCCAAAAAAAAAACAAAACAGAAAAGCAGGGTAGGGGAAGAGTGTTAACCTAGCCTAATTTATAAAATTATTTTCTTCCATAACTAATTAAATGATTAAATGAAATCATCTATATGTTGATTATAGTCAGCAAAATGTATTCCGTATAGAGGCCTCTAGGTTTATCTAAATATTCCGGAGTTTAATTAGTATGTGATAGTAAATATATCCGCCACATTTGGTCTATACCAGGGCTCGATTTCCCTATTTTCATTTGATTCAACATTAACAATTCATGTTCCACTGTTGAGGTCATTAATTCTTCAATTTCTCGTCGAGAAGGTAAAACCTTGGTCTTCCATTGTCTAGCAATTAATATAGATGCTGTACTTAATAAGAGAAAAATCATTTTCTTGATTAATTTTGGTAAATTACTTGGAAGTAGTCGTAACAATATAATTTTAGGATCTTGGGATAGTTCAATATTTGTCACATGTTTTATCATCTTAATAACATCATTCCATAAGGAATTAACTGCTTCGCATGACCACCAAACATGTAACATAGTACCTTTAGCTTTATGACATCTCCAGCACTGGTTTGACGTTAAGGGGAACATAGAATTTAAGCGTGTTGGTACTAAGTACCACCTATAGAGAATTTTCCGTGCTACCTCAAGAAGTGACCTTGTTTGGTTGTTTTTCCTTCCCTTTTTTTTTCTTTCTGTATCCCTTATTATTTGAAAAAGATAAAATAAAAGAGTAAATAAAAAAAAATATATATAATTCTAGGGTGATCCGGTAAAAAAGTAGCCAAAGTGGGATCTTTCTTATAAAGATGCTAATGTTTCGTGATGGAATTGCGATTGACTACTGTAATTGAAAATTATAGGACAATTAAAACTGTCGTCCTGTAGCCTATCTCTCTTAGTTGTATTCAGGAGCATGTGTCTCTCTATATTATCAACTCTTATCATGGATTGTCGTAGGAGCTCTGGTTCATATTCCTTTTCTAGAAATTGAGTCTTAACCTTTTCCAGTTGTTTCTTGTATATTTCAGGGTCTGAACAGTTTTTCTTTATGCATTTGAACTGTCCATATGGTACGTTAGTCAACCATGGTGGATGGTGACAGCTGGACCTTAGAATGAAGCTGTTAACGTCAACAACCTTAAAAAAGATCTTACATTGTAAGCTTTGTTCTTCCACATATAGAACTAGATCTAAAAAGTCAACACTAGTTGCACTGAATTTCGAAGTAAAAGCTAAATTAAATAAATTGGTATTCATTTATTCTAAAAATAGGATGAGTTCTTTCTCCTTCCCAAATAAAAAAACAATCATCGATGTACCACTTATAGAGGACCAGGTTCGCAACCCAGGGGTGACCCTGCCATATATAGAAATCTTCCCAGTAGGCCATGAAGATATTAGCCTAACTGGGTGCGAACCTGGTCCCCATAGCACTACCTGTGATTTGGAGGTAAACCTCATCATTGTGCCAAAAATAATTATGGGAAAGAATAAAATGAATACATTCAACTAAAAACTCTATTTGTTCCATTTGTAGCTCCGAAGTCTTGTATAAAGTGTGTCTGACTGCCCTTAATCCTAATTCATGTTGTGTAACTGTATATAGTGAGGTTACGTCACAAGTGACCAGCCTATATGTATTCTTCCAAGGTATGCCCTCTAGTGTTCGAAGTAGTTCACTACTATCCCTTAAATTGTATTTGGTCCCCTTAACTGATGGCTGCAGTAGTGTATCTATATACTGGGACAGATTTGAAGTTAGAGACCCGATCCCCGAAATGATTGGTCTCCCTGGTGGTTCAGTTGTGTGCTTATGAACCTTTGGAAGAAAGTAAAAACAGCTTTCCTGGGATATGTATTTAAAACAAAATCGTATTCCTTCTTTGTCAAAATTCCCACCTGTCTCCCCTTATCCAAAAGAGTAGTTAAATCTCTCTGGAAGTCTGAAGTTGGATCTCTATTTAGTAACTCATAAGTTTTCTTATCTAATAGAATCCTTAGGCACTCTTTTTCGTAATATTCCAAGCTCATCAAAACAATATCCCCTTATCTGCGGGTTTAATAATAATATCCCCATTGTCGCTCAGTTCCTTTAATGCTTTTTTCTCTTGCAATGTCAAATTTTGATGTCTATTTGGGATTCTAGTTGGAATTTTCTCCAACTCTTCCAATACTGCCATGTTAAAGGCATTCATATATGCACTTAATGGATTTGGAGGACATAATTTGGATTTATGTTTAAGGGCTGTGTGGGTAAAAGGGCTGTGTGGGTAAAAAGGCTATCCTGTTGAGTAATTGGTTTATCGAAAGGCTTGCTACTAAAATAGCGTTTTAAATTTAATGTTCTCATAAACTTCTGGACATCTAGAAAGTTCTTAAAGGGATCTGATCTAATAGCCGGAGCAAATTTTAATCCCTTATTGAGGAGTTTAATTTGGTCAGATGTTAATTTAATATTTGTTAAATTAAAAAGTCCCATGGGTTCTACCATTTGGTTCTTTTTTCTTTTCTGGATTCCTCTACCTCCCCTACATTCTCTCTGTATGGTCTTTTGTATCGTTCCTTTGTTTTCACGCTTTGGAGTTGATGACTCATAAACAGATAGCGAGGTCCTAAAAAAATCTTTCCCCTCAGTCTGGTTATTATGGGCTTTAGATTTATTATGTACAATGTCTTCTGTGTGCCTCAAAGCCTCAAATCTATTGGGGACCTGGTTTATATTGGTATGTTTTCTTGGTTCTGGTGTATAGGGTTTGGGTTTGAAATGGGGAGTATTCTTCCGTCTTTTGTAAGTGACTAGCGTCCAACTATTTTCTCTAGGTGTTCTAGGTGTCCTAAATTGAACCCTTTCTTTGTAATGGTGATCCGTCTTAGATCCTTCATTTGTCTTAGTTAATTTATACTCTCTCTTATCCCTAATACCCCTGCGTATAGCCTGGGTGGTATGGAAGGAATTCTTACGTGGTTGTTCCTTTCTATGGTAATTCCTCACTCTGTTCTCTTGAAAATCCTGTTGATCCCTTTCAAATTTCCTTTTTTTAATATTAATAGTCTCCTCAAAAGTTTTCAAGGTTAAAAGCCCACAGTGCAACAATGTATCTACAGATGCTGTGATTTAGCTGCAAGACTAATCCTAACCCGGTAAAGGATTATCACCCAAGATTTATTGGACCCTATAGCAAGACCTTTTATGATTATTTGAGTACTACACTTATGGTGGTCTGTTTTATTGTATTTTATTTTATTGCACTTGGAAGTATTTCCATAAATCCGCATTTATAAGTGTTTTACTTCAGAATGAGAGTGATCACCTAAATTAGATTTTCAAGTATAGCGCTGACACTTTATTTTGTTTATATATTATGTGTAAAGTTTTTAAGGATCTTTATATGTGTATAGCTGCTGAGTTTACTCAGGTTCTTATTTATATTTAGTTTTATTTACTTTTAAGATCTGCGCTCTCCTATTTTGTCTAGATCTACAAACTTTGTAATAGTATGGTTTACCATAGACACTGTGTGTCACGTCAAGGGTGTATAATTTATTATTACACTATGGAATATCATCCTTTAATGTAATTTGTGTAGTAAATGGCACAAATTACAGAGATGCTATTGCTGAGGTCAACAGGGATTACATCTTTTGAAGCTGGGACCCCCACAGAGGTCAGATGACAGAAGGGGATAGGAATAGGATAGGAATGTGAAAAGGATTTTACTATTTGGATGTGAAGTAATCAAGGCTCTGCAAGGTGTGAGGTTCTACACTTGGAAAAAGTCTGAATGCCTCTTCATCCATTTGGTATGTACCTTGTAAAGGATAGTTAAATCCTTTGATATGGTAATGGGATTAGTTTCATGAAGATCCTTGTGTTCCAGTATCTTATCCAAATGAAACATTAATACTTACCCACAGGTTAATAATTAAGCCTAATTTTTATTATATTTGTAATGGGACAAGCCCAATCTCTTAATTAAGCCTAAACATGAGTTGCACAACTTAAACCGTGTGGCAGGAATTGTGATGTCCGTCCTATTGGATCGTGGGCGGGGCATGCAACCTTTTTTATGGAATGGGAAAACAATAACAAATTCATAGAGGCAATTATTATTTCTGTGGCAAGTACAGTAGAGGAGATAAAACCAAAAGTTTATATGTGGCTTGTTGTTTTCTGGAACAAAGGAGTTGGTCACTTAGTATCTCTATAGGTATGCCTTTGCTCCACCCCTGGGTGAGGCGTGGTAATTTACAGGGTATATCTCCTGTGATCCTGAAAGGTGCTGGTGTACTTGCTTGGGGCCAAGATCTAATTTTGAGTGAGTCACCATCATCCTTCCTTGCCAGAGACCCCCTGGACAGAAGTTGTACTTTGAAAACCTAATTAGGACTTCTGTATTTTATCCTTTTTGTTTTTATCTGTTGTTGGTGTAAATAATTTGTTTATCATATATTGTTATATGCACTGTGATTATTTTTTTTTCTCATAATAAACATTCATTTATTAAGTTCTGCCTTTGTCTGGTTAAGAATCACGTTACCTGAAGAGACTAGTTAGTATTTTTGTAATTCCTTGAATATTGTAAGTAATATTTGGTGGGTTTTATTGTTGATTTTACCTGGGGGACCAAGGCACCCCATTTATAAATTATCTTGGTGGTGGCAGCGTTAAAATAGTAATATTTATATTATTATGTTTAAGTGTGGGTGGTGTTAAAGGGGGATTTTGTCATTATTTCCGGTCTAGTGCAGACAAATAGTGAACTTTAACCCTTTCACAACCACAACTACGTCACGCACACTCTTGGAGTAGGGTGCGTTCGTGACACTGTGTATCGATATAATAGCTGGTACGATCTACCATGAGTACATATCTATTGGGAAAAATATAATATAGTACAATTAACATAAGTTGGGGGTGGAGGTGGTAGAAAACTCACAAGATATAGATGTATTCAGGCATATCTCCCTTAATATTAGGGTAGTAGTGAAGTTGTGGAAGACCTCCAGTGATGGAATTCGGGATATGTGATAGATCTTCTTGGCCACTCAAATCAAAGAAGAAGATAGATAGTGCAGATTGTATAAAAAGTATAACAATTTATTGTATATATTGCACTTACAATGTTTCAGAGAAAAAAAAGCATGTCTCCACACCAAGGTGGTATCCACGTGTTCCAGTAGGTAAAGTCACAGCAACGATTCCAAACAGCAACAACAGGGTAAGATAAATAAAAAGTTCATATGAACAAAATAACTAAATCCAACGCGTTTCCTCCTCTTCTGGACTTCCTCAGGTATGTATAGATCACCAGGTTCCGCTTTTATATTAGCCAGGTAACGGGTGTTATTGACGGCAGCTGCTGGCGTGTGTTCCACTGTGGAACATACGGACCAATCGAAAAATAATGTTGCCGATATGAATGGCAACATAGTGTTAACTAATTCCAACAGAACCAATTGCAAAGAAAGGCTCATATTTGGCTCAAGCATATAATACAGCGATCCAATACAATCACATACAATGGCAGTATATTAGGAGCTGGGCATGTCAGCAGAAAATGCTTGTTATTTATAGACTGATATACATTTATATTTGTTCTAAAAAGCATACATGTCTGAGATACATTGAAATCAACAAAATGATATAGAAATATATATCAAATTGCATGTACAAAAAATAAATAAAAAAAATGTAAAATAAAAAATAAATAAAATGTGAGATATAAAAAATGGCTAAATATATATATATATATCGAATGGTCCGTATGTTCGTAATACAGGAAGTGACATCATATGCGAAAGTAATGAATGCGTTCCACTGCGGAAAGCACGCCAGCAGCTGCCGTCAATAACACCCGTTACCTGGCTGATATAAAGCGGAACCTGGTCGGATTGGATCTATACATCCCTGACTAAGTCCAGAAGAGGAGGAAACACGTTGGATTTAGTTATTTTATTTTACCCTGTTGTTGCTGTGATTTTACCTGCTGGAACACGTGGTTACCACCTTGGTGTGTAGACATGCTGTTTTTTTGCAATATATATAATAACTTGTTATACTTTTTATACAATCTGCACTATCTATCTTCTTTGATTTGAGTGGCCAAGAAGATCTTTCACATATCCAGAATTCCATCACTGGAGGTCTTCCACAACTTCACTACTACCCTAATATTAAGGGAGATATGCCTGAATACATCTATATCTTCTGAGTTTTCTACCATCCCCCCCACCCGTACACACACTTATGTTAATTGTACTACACTATTTTTATATTTTTCCCAATAGATATGTACTCATGGTAGATCCTACCAGCTATTATATCGATACACGGTGTCTATGGTAAACCATACTATTATAAAGTTTGTACCATTTATTATTATCACTTTATGATGAATTACACAACTCTTTCCTTTGTTTTTTTTTCCTTTGTAACTATGGTATAAGAGACTTGCTTATTTCCTCTGTCTAACATGCAAAGAGGTTTAATGGGATATATAACTAATATATTGTGTCAAATGAATTCAGTTGTATCCAATATAGATCCAGTAACATTTCATGTTTTATTTCAGGGTTATGTGTGGCCACACTTGTCATATCTTTGGCAATTCGTGTATGCGCAACATATTTAATGGTATGCTGTGCTGGATTTAATTTAAAGGAAAAAATATTCATCTCACTGGCTTGGATTCCTAAAGCAACAGTACAGGTAAGCTTCAAATTCAAAATAATGCAATGCATAATTAGTTTTATTTGGTAATGCAAAATGCATAAAATTGTTATACTGACGGTAAAGTATCTCTAGGTGGTTTATTCTGTAAACAGTGATTTTCCAAGTAAAATGTAATACAAACACAGAAAATGTGCCTATTTGGGCTTAAAGGAGCACTCAAAACATCTAAAGCACTTTACATTGTTGAAGAGCTTTATGTGTAAAGAGTGTGTCCTCTTTTTTCCATTTTATCAAAAGGGGAGATTTCAATAGAAATTGGCACTTTTATACATTAACCTTGTTGCACCCCCTGGCTGTCAGTGAAACAGCTAGTCCTGTTACTTCCTGGTTTGGTTAGCTCAGAGGAGCTAAATTTAAGAAGCAGCAATTGCCCAGAGCACCTACCTTGCAAAGATTTCTCATTGACCTGCATTGGGAAGTCTGTGATTGAACAGTCACATATAGTCTGGGCTGGGTGAGAAGGGTATGGCTTGCCAAAGCAGCTGACATGAGAACTGCAGGGTTTGCAAGCTTTTTTTAATATACCCTCAATGAAAAGAATGCATAATTAAATGCTTGCATGCTTTACTGTCCCCTAGACAGTGATTGTTTTATGTTATTTTTGTTTTGCATTTGGGCAGTGGCGTGTGTTGAAATTGTTTATTTTATGGCTCAGCTTGCAGTAGAAGCCTACAGTGTGTTTACTTTGCCCACTAATTGTATTGTCTGGATGTCTTTAATTTTTGAGAATATTCTCACTGTCATTATGTATGAGGACATAATGAAATTAGCAATATTAGAGTTGTATTTTCATTATAAAGGTGGATTGAATGTAGACTTACATACCACTAACACATGATTTGTCTATGATTGACCTGCTAGCTTCAGAAGCTAAAGGCAGATGTAGTTTTAAAATATCTGGAGAACATCAGTGGCACAGCTGGGGTGGGCTGATTCAGGCTAGAACCCCAAGTTGGCCTCCGAAAAGCACTGCATCTCCAAAGTGCCATATATATGTATCAGCCATGAGTCCCAAGATCCTGAGGCGACTCAGAGACTCTAGGCTATGCACAGGCTAGAACCCTAAGTTGGCCTCCTCTCTTTTCAGGCCACGTTTAATTCATTCTGTGAGTTTGCGGTAGTTCAGAGTGTTACTATGAGTCCGTAGCTCACAAGAGCCATTACATGATGCTTGCAGAGACCAGAAACTCTCCACACCGAACCACCAGGAATCTGAATTATGTCCCTCTTCCTGCCGGAGGGAGGGTAGAATAAACTTGAAACCAGAGTACTTGAAAACCAGAGTAATCTGAATGTACCTTTCCTGGTTAATTACAATTATTATTATTATTAGTATTATTATTATATAAAAATAAATAAATGTTTTAAACAACACATTCCTTACACACACTGCATACCCAATCTCATAATACACAATACTTTTCTTACACACACACACACACACACACACACACACACACACACACACACACACACTCTACCTGCCCTAAACACTAGGCATCACCAGCAAAAATACATAATAATAAAGTCTATTGTAATAAATGCATTGCAACTGCTGTTTTCTGTAATTCCTGTTGTATCACATAGGCTGCAATAGGGTCAGTAGCCCTCGACACAGCAAGGACAAATGGAAAACTAGAGTATGAAGAATTTGGTATGGATGTCCTCACGGCAGCGTTTTTGTCGATACTGATTACCGCACCAATAGGAGCAGTCATCATTGGCCTGACAGGACCCAAAATGCTACAAAAAGCAACTGATGAAGATAAAGAACAAAGAACCACGATAGGAGAATCTATTATTGTCTGAAAAGCAGCAGTTCCTCCATGCAGGTTGTGGAGGGTCAGGAGAAGTGACTCCTTGACTATTTTTCTATATAGGCATTACACTGGTTTGGAATGCCATAGATATAAATTCAAATAGCTGGTATTTTAGCATAAAGCCACATTTGTTTAATTTTGAAACAGCTTTATTGTATTTATGGAACATGACTGGGAGGACATAAAATAAAAAGGGTTACAAAGCTAAAAACTAAATATAGCACTTGGAAATTGTTTGCTGGTTTGTACACACAAAGGAAATACCACGTTCAACAATATTTTTCAAAATGGATCTAATGTGTATTAATGTAAACACACTGATAAAAAAAAATTATTTATATATTAAAATTATATAGACTATATACATATACTGTATATTCAGAGTTTAAGGTTGTTTACGCATTACAAATATTGTTCATCAAAGATTTACACTATTACATGGTACAATCTGCGTTGTAAGTACAGCCGGTTTAGGTAAACAAAACCAAAAATAAAATTCTCTACAAGTTGAAAACCTAAATAGTTTATTACTGAGAACATACACCAGTTCCTCCATGCAGGTTGTGGAGGGTCGGGAGAAATTCAAATAGAAATTCAAATAGCTGGTATTTTAGCATAAAGCCACATTTGTTTAATTTTGAAACGGTTTTATTGTTTATTACTCAGAACATACACCAACGTTCCTACAGTAGAGTTGAAGCTGTTTTATTAACACCAATTATAAATGTATTGATGGTTTAATGAGAGTGGATGAAATAAATTGTATAAGTTGTTAAAGAGACTTTTTAGCCTAGAGTTTGATGCGGTTTTTAAAATACATTAAATTTTTTTTTTTAAATGATGCTCTCCCATACAAAGTACAGTGCCTTGCAAAAGTATTTTACCCCCTTGACTTTACCTGTTTTGTTACATTACAGCTCTACGTTAAATGTTTTAATAATCTGAATTTTATGTGATTGATCAGAACACAATAGTCTAAGTTGGTGAAGTGAAATGAGAACAATATATACATAAAACTATTTTTTAGAAATAGAAAACAAAATTGGCATGTGCGTATGTATTCACCCCTTTTGTTATGAAGCCCATAAAAGCTCTGGTGCAACCAATTTCCTTCAGAAGTCACATAATTAGTGAAATGATGTCCACCTGTGTGCAGTCTAAGTGTCACATGATCTGTCATTACATATACATACCTTTTTTGAAAGACATAAGCAAGAGGCACCACTAACCCAAACACTGCCATGAAGACCAAGGAATTCTCCAAAAAAGTAAGGGACAATGTTGTTGAGAAGTACAAGTCAGGGTTAGGTTATAAAAAAAATATCCAAATCTTTGATGATCCCCAGGAGCACGATCAAATCTATCATAACCAAATGGAAAGAAAATGGCACAGCAGCAAACCTGCCAAGAGACGGCCGCCACCAAAACTCACGGACTGGGCAAGGAGGGCATTAGTCAGAGGGGCAGCACAGAAACCTTAAGGTAACCCTGGAGGAGCTGCAGAGTTCCACAGCAGAGACTGTACGGCTTTACGGCAGAGTGGCCAGAAGAAAGCCATTACTTTCAGCAAAAAACAAAATGGCACATTTTGAATTTGTGAAAAGGCATGTGGGAGACTCCCAAAATGTATGGAGGAAGGTGCTTTGGTCTGATGAGACTAAAATTGAACTTTTCGGCCATCAAAGAAAAAGCTATGTCTGGCACAAACCCAACACATCACATCACATCACATCACACCACACATATAACACCATCCCCACAGTGAAACATGGTGGTGGCAGCATCATGCTGTGGGGATGTTTTTAAGCAACCGGGACTGAGAAACTGGTCAGAGTTGAGGCAAAGATGGATGGTGCTAAATACAGGGATTTTCTTGAGCAAAACCTGTACCACTTTATGTGATTTGAGGCCAGGACGGAGGTTCACCTGCCAGCAGGACAATGACCCCAAAAACACTGCTAAAGCAACACTTGAGTGGTTTAAGGGGAAACATGTAAATGTGTTGGAATGGCCTAGTCAAAGCCCAGACCTCAATCCAATAGAAAATCTGTGGTCAGACTTAAAGATTGCTGTTCACAAGTGCAAACCATCCAACTTGAAAGAGCTGGAGCAGTTTTGCAAGGAGAAATGGGCAAAAATCCCAGTGGTAAGATGTGGCAAGCTCATAGAGACTTATCCAAAGCTACTTGGAGCTGTGATTGCCGCAAAAGGTGGCTCTACAAAGTATTGACTTTAGGGGGGTGAATAGTTATGCACATTGACTTTTTCTGTTATTTTGTCCTATTTGTTGTTTGCTTCACAATTAAAAAAAGTTGTGGGCATGTTCTGTAAATTAAATGATGCAAATCCTCAAACAATCCATGTTAATTCCAGGTTGTGAGGCAACAAAACACGAAAAATGCCAAGGGGAGTGAATACTTTTGCAAGGCACTGTAATGAGAAAGCACAGAGCATTGGCAACCAAAATAGCTCAAGATTTCTCACAAGGTAAATCGTAATGCATTCTCATAGAAAGCATCTGGTGAAGTGCAGTCATTTTAAATGCTAATACAATACAATTGCCTTTAGCAGTCCATTTTCTGTTGGAAATAGAACCTAAAGCTACAGAATTTATTTTTCTTAATGAATTGGACAACTCCCGGCACATCTTAGCAAGGTAAAGAGTTACAAGTTTATTGACTAAAGTAAGAATTCAAAGTGAATTTCAAATGTAATGTCAAAATAGCCCAACCTTAAACAATCTCTAATTTAGCTATGCTTTCAGTTTGGCTATTTTGGCCTTAAATTAGATACACAAGTTCTCGCTTTAATGAAAATCCCTGTTAATGTGCATATGTGTTTATCAATGTGCCAGGAGTGTCACTTTAATAATGAACTCATTTAAGAAACACTCTACCCAGATTTTTCTTTTCCAGATTGTGACTGTACTGTAAATATGAATTTGTGGTCTTCATTTTAAATAAACCAGCGATGATCAAAACGTGTGTACAATTTGTTTTACTTAAAACTATTTTATAGGCTTTACAGCAGCATTTTATATATTGTACCTATATTCCACTGTGTACATGTTGAGGTGCAGACTTCAATGTTGTATTGAAGTAGGAACTTTAGGTGTGAGCACCAATGTCTGCCATAGGTGTTTAATTACTAAACTCTAATGAAACCCTGAACATCATCCATATAGTGGATTCATATGAAAAGAGCTCCTGACATAAATAGGATACTCCTGAGAAGTCGATGTCTTATATTATGGATTATGTAATGAAATCACAATTAGTTTACCCGCAATTAGTGGTTTTATAAGCTTTGGAGCTGGTATAGCATGGGGATTACTGTTACTATATATACACATGCACACACAGACACAGAACTGAATGCTCTAGACCAGTGGTTCCAAACCAGTCCTTATGGCCCCCAGACCGGCCTGACCTCGGAACCCCCGCCAGATCAGACACTAACCTCCTACACTCCTCTCCACTCTCAACTGACGGAGACCGCGAATTGCGAGCCGCATCAGCCGAGTCCGCTCTCCGACTGGGTATTCTAGGCGCATGTGCAAGAACAAAAGCGTCTTAAATGGGAAGTAGCCGTTTTCCAAAAGGAGGTCCCAGGAGACAGGGAGGACACCTGTGAAAATGTAAGCCACCCCCTCTCCTATAGAAACCTGCTCAGACCTATCTATGCTCAGTATTCTGTGCTCCAGACTCCTATCAAGTTGTTCCCTGTTCCTGTCTGCTTATCGGATATCCGACCTCCTGGCTTGTTCAACGTTTATGATCCTGCGCTGCCTGAACCGACCCTTTTGCCTGTCTGACTTTGTCTCTCCCTTACCCTTGTCTATACTACTTTGAACAACCAAAGTCTGTAACTGCATATTGGACTCTATCTACTAAACTGTGACACCCACCAACAATCCACAATTTATGTATTTTCAAGTTTTATTCCAATGGAAATACTAAAACCTGGACTGTTGGTGGGTCTTGAGGACTGATTTGGGGACCACTGCTCTCTAGCCACTGTTAGATCGAACAATTGAGATTAAGATACATAATGTGGCTGTACAATAGAGAAGCCTGGCACGGTTCCATAGTTTTTAACATGTCCCAAGCTAATATTTTCTCCTGTTGAATGAGTGCACAGTTTCATTGAAAAAGAATACAAGAATATGTACTGCTACCAGAGGTTGGCTTAAAAAAAAATACAAATAAAGAAAAAGCCCTAATCTGAGCACAAAAACATTAACAGCATACTGCTGCTACTGGCAGAATACACACAGCACAATGCAATCTCTAACAAATAATGTGTATGATATAGTGAGATTGCGTGTGTTTACATACAGGCTTGAAACATTATCTTGATACAAACTGGTAAAGCAATTATAGCTTAAATCATAGATCATCATAACCAAGGACACCTGACCATATCAACTATAACAATGGAGTCAGACTCATGGATAGCAATTAATTGGCACAGACCAGTGTGTGCATGAACACTAGCTTCCCAATGTTTTCCTATAGGGAAGCATTGAAGGAGATCATGTAGATAGACACAAGTACACCACAAAATATAAGGCAAGTAAAACGTATCTTTAAGCCCTGAAGGAATCAGGTATAGAAAAATGGATCTGGTTTAAAAGGTTATGTGATTCAGTTGTACACTTAGAAGCCTTTGCTTTGTTTGTGCATACCAAACCACTGAATGTAAACATTTTGTTGTATAAAGAAGGCATCACTGTATCTTGTGTAGTGATGTCGTGAACCCGAAATTTTCGGTTCGCAAACGCGAACTTCCGCAAATGTTCGCGAACCGCCCGAAACGCCATTGACTTCAATGGGGAGGCGAATTTTAAAACACACAGGGACTCTTTCTGGCCACAATAGGGATGGAAAAGTTGTTTCAAGGGGACTAACACCTGGACTGTGGCATGCCGGAGGGGGATCCATGGCAAAACTCCCATGGAAAATTACACAGTTGATACAGAGTCTGGTTTTAATCCATAAAGGGCAGAAATCACCTAACATTCCTAAATCACAATCAATATGGATTGACACCTGACATATGACATATTGACACCTTGACATATGGATTGACACCTGTCCTAAGGTTCCCTGATACACACTGACACAGAGCAGAATAGGGACTGGTCCCCCTACATCGGGTCACTTGGCAGATATGGATTGACACCTTGTTACAAACTGCTATTTGTAACGGGCCCTTTAAATGGCAAATTGCCCTGCTTCCCTGGGTTGTGGAGAAGCCTATTTGCCAGCCTCCTCCCGCATGACTATGGCCCCTGGGAGATTGTGAAAATGTATGCACTTTTATTTGGTGTGTATGGCCCTTTAAGACTGTCGGTGGGCATATTGGGGCTTATGGACTCTTTATGTGACTGGTGCTGGCCCTTTAAACACCTTTTTGGGACATCAGGAAGATTGGGACACTGCCCCTTTAAGGCCGTGTCCCCAGACTTGTTGGGGACACGGCCCCTTTAAGACGGTGTCCCCTGTGTCCCCAGACCTGGTGCAAACCCTTTGTGCCTGCCTGGCTATTTCCCACTTGGTTCAGTAAATGGGAAATTATTTCAGCTGCAGAGACTAAGTCCCATTCGGCGATGGGACTTAGTCTCTGCAGCTGAAATAAGGCTGAAAAAAACGGCTGAAAAAAAGACTAAGTCCCATTCGCGATGGGACTTAGTCGTTTTTTCAGCCTGAAATAGACCGACCTCACAGCCCAAATCTATGGAACTGTTTTGGGCAGGAAAATGTGCTTACGGGGGGCGGAGCCTGACAGCAGAAGCAAGCAGACGCAAGACTCAGGAGCTCCGAGGACAAAACGGAGAAAATAAACTTAAAAACGGCTGATAAGACCCCCAATAACCACTGACTACAAGCGGGCACCCCTTAAGCACTAATGGGACGCAAACACAAGAAACTGTTGCCGGACAAACCAGCCCCAGGACTCACAATAGGGGATATGTGGCGACAAGCACGCGGCCCGAGCGGATCCAATATGGCGGCGCTCCACGGAGGCTGCTCGGATTTCTCCGACGACTGCTCAGAGGGAGCTGACGATGAATGCCTCCTAGCCCCAGACCCAATGCCGAGGGCAAAACCCAACAAACTTAGGAAGGACACAGACGCCGAACTGGTAACAACCGGGGTATTAAAGACCCTGCTAGCAGACCTACAAAAGAACATCCTCGCGGATGTCACTGCACTAAGGGGAGAGCTGAAGGGCCTGACAGGCCGCATGACTGTACTAGAGGAATCATCCCAAGAACAGCAGCACACTATCGCCTCACTGCAAAGCGACATACGGGACCTGCGCAACCAAACTATGCTGTATGAACGGCGCTTCGCAGCCCAAGAAGACGCAAGACGGAGACTTAACATTAAGGTCAGGGGACTCCCAGAGGGGTTGCCGGAGGCTGACCTACCGCACACGATCAAACGCCTGCTTGCCACCATTCTGCCCATGGACCAAGCCAGGGCCGTCATGCCCACGGATCTCTTCCGGATCCCAAAGCCCGCTGGGGCCCCAGACATGGCCACAAGGGACACTATACTTACATTTAAAAATGGGACTGACAAATCGACGGTTCTCACAGCCATCCGGGGTAATACCCCCATACAATTTGAAAACGCTAAACTAACCTTTTACGCCGACCTATCCAGTGGAACTCTGGCGTGGCGCAGGTCAATGCGGCCTCTCACCTCCACACTCCGGCGCAACAACATACCGTATCGCTGGCGGCCCTCACACTTGCTCCGGGTACAACAAGGCGAAACAACACACCAAATTTACAGTATGCAAGACGCAGAGGCCCTTCTGCACACCCTAGATCCATCACTGGATTCACGCCTACAAGCGGGACCTTGTGCCCCCGCCACCCCGACTCACAGCTGGGACCCAGTAAACAGTGCCCCATTCAGACCGCGGCGCACCACGCCGGTCACCTACGCCTCAGTGACCACATAAATCTTCAGCATCCACCCACTTCCAGCCTCCCACCCCGGGGCATCGGCTGATCTGCTCATTACCTGGACTGCACCCACGCACTACCGACACACAGAGCGGCGCAGTCCAAGTGGGAAAAGTCTCCTGGGAGGTCTGACGAAGACCGAAGCAAAACCCCACTTTCTCTAGGCATCTGAAGAATGGCTACTGAACTTTGCGGAACTTTATTTATTTTATTTTTTTGTTTTGTTTTGTTACTACGTAGACCATATACCAGTTGCCATAAAACGCTGGGCTGCTTGCATATTGGTTGACTCTGGCAGTTATGCACCTGCAGCCTACAAGCTCTTGGCATCGGCTACAAAGCTCTCAAGGACGCTCAGAGCACGCATACAATGCTTGCGGTACCCATATGTTGAAACGACTAGCCACCCAATGGTTATTATTGTTCTTGTTTTATGTTAATTGTTTTTTCTTGTTTTATGTTAACTGGTTCATACCTTATATCTCATGGTTACCTCAAGTTAACTCCTGCGTAACTATTAATGTACAATTGTACTAGTCTCATTACGTGCCCCCACCCTGTTTGGATGCCTCATAGGCTCTGCTGGCCCGTAGCCAGGCAGTGGGACATGACTAGCCATCTTAAATCAATATTGACTGCTTGCAATGTCTGACCACAAATAGCAATAGGAACTCAAGCTCAATTGTTTCAAGCAGCATGTATAGCCAGATTACTACTCTCATTTTACTAAACCTGTCTGAGCTTACCTTTAAACTTATCTTTGCGCTATATTCTAATGACAAAACGGGATAGCCAGGCTGATGATTGGTATAACTATACGTATAATACTGTGCATTTCTCATGCCACTGCCCAATTTACGTACAACCTCAATGCTGTTTATAAGCTAAAATTGTGCGAAAGGAAAGGGAAAGGGAAACGGAAAAAAACGAAAAAAAACGAAAAAAAAAAAAAGGGAGCCCACTGCCAGAACTCCTAAAATGCTCAGACCATAACCAAACAGAACCATGCAGCCGCAAGGGGTATATACTCCTACCTTGCTTAAATTGCCATCATCAGGTCTACAACCAAATTTAGCTACTTCCCTTCACTAGTCACTCCAGACTTTTACTGTCTAGCCTGTTTAGCCTGCGGGATATATATAACTTAATGTGCCACTATATTACTCCACTACATTACTTTGGTCACTCATGTTTTTCCTCCATCAGTGTTGTGAGGCTTAATCGTTCTTACTAACTTGCCTAACACGACTCGTCACTAAGACACCCTCTGCCCAGACAAACAAGTGTTATGTTTAACTAATTACCATACTTTAAATATAAAATTTCGTGCTGTTCTCTCAAATGATGCAAAGTATTGTCTCTAACAGTTCTCAATGTCAACCTACATGTATCATTGAATGTACTGCAAATCCTCGCATTTGCTGTTGTGGCAATGCAGGATGTATTGTAATCTCATGCACGTTCAAAAATAAAGAATTTAAAAAAAAAAAAAAAGAAAATGTGCTTACGGTCGGTCATAAAGGGACCTCCAGCTAACTTTTTAACCCCTGGATGGATTTGGCTGATTTTTGGTTATGTTTATGTTTTAAGTGTGCTGATTCCAAATATGTAATTATGAAGATGGGATGTGTAGTTTTAAAGTTACAGGGTATGGCTAAAAACTGTATTTTTACTGCCTGTGTTTAATTATGTTAATCTCTTCCCAAACGTCATTTCGTTCAAAGTGGAGAGAATGTTAAAAAAATATATTTTTGTTCGGAGTGTGAGAAATGCTTTTCAGCCGCTTCTAATCTTAAGCATCATTTGAGGAGCCATACAGGAGAGAAACCTTATTTGTGGTGTGTTTAGTATTGTTCTGATCAGTTTAATACCTTCCGCGTCTCCTATCAGTGGACGTGTATATGGCAGCCATTTTAGGAACCGTACACCTGGGACCCGAGCAAGGTCACCTCGTTCAACAGGCTTGCAGCGTATCCTCCAGGAAGAAGAGCCTGAACCCTTACCGGCTGCACGTGTCTTACCTGTACATGGAAAGCTGCTGTGGTTCCTTGATGAGCCAGCTGCCCGTGAGTTAACATGTCCCGTGGAGAAGCACTCTGTCCTGTAAAGCCTCACCAAAAAAAGGAGTGGTGTGTTTAGTATTGTTCTGATCAGTTTAATACCTTCCGCGTCTCCTATCAGTGGACGTGTACACGGCATTGATTTTTATCTAAGCCGTAAACTTTTGCACAGCGAAGTATATTCACTGCCATTGAAAAGGAGTGCATGGCGGTGGTGTGGGCCCTCAAAAAGCTGCAACCTACTTGTATGGACAACCGTTTACCTTACTCACAGATCACATTAAATTTGGGGCACTGCGCGGTCAAGCTAATGTGACACCAGATAGGAGTGGTGTGTTTAGTACTATTTTTATCAGTTTAATACCTTCCGCGTCTCCTATCAGTGGACGTGTACACGGCATTGATTTTTGTAACAGGGAGATGGAAGAAGAGGCTTGGTCGGTCCTCTTACTGCAAATTTGGGGCACTGCGCGGTCAAGCTAATGTGACACCAGATAGGAGTGGTGTGTTTAGTACTATTTTTATCAGTTTAATACCTTCCGCGTCTCCTATCAGTGGTCGTGTACACGGCAGTAATTTCTGTAACAGGCAGATGGAAGAAGATGCTTGTTTGGTCCTCCTAACTGGAGACTGTGTTGCTGTACGGGTGGCAGGTGGAGCCATTTATAAAGTACACACTGCTTTATAAAGCCATTTATAAAGTACACACTGGCGGCTTGAACCCAAGTTGGTGGCGGATAAGTCACGCAAGTCAACAGGCATTCAGAGCTAAAATACAGCAGCGTGTGGACCATTTTTAGCCCAAGGCAGCTCATCTCATCAGGCCTTTTTTACATAGGGTCACTTGGCAGATATGGATTGACACCTGTCCTAGGGATCCCTGATACACACTGACACAGAGCAGAATAGGGACTGTTCCTCCTACATGGTCCTTGGCAGATATGGATTGACACCTGTCCTCAGAGCCCCTGATACACACTGACACAGAGCAGAATAGAGACTGTTCCTCCTACATAGGGTCACTTGGCAGATATGGATTGACACCTCTCCTCAGAGCCCCTGATACACACTGACACAGAGCAGAATAGAGACTGTTCCTCCTACATAGGGTCACTTGGCAGATATGGATTGACAGTTGTCCTCAGAGCCCCTGATACACACTGACACAGAGCAGAATAGAGACTGTTCCCCCTACATAGGGTCACTTGGCAGATATGGATTGACACCTGTCCTCAGAGACCATGATACACACTGACACAGAGCAGAACAGAGACTGTTCCTCCTACATAGGGTCACTTGACAGATATGGATTGACACCTGTCTTCAGAGATCATGATACACACTGACACAGAGCAGAATAGAGACTGTTCCTCTACATAGGGTCACTTGGCAGATATGGAATGACACCTGTCCTCAGAGACCATGATACACACTGACACAGAGCAGGTAGGGACTGTTCACTCCTACATAGGGTCACTTGGCAGATATGGATTGACACCTGTCCTCAGAGCCCCCTGATACACACTGACACAGATCAGAATAGGGAATGTTACCCCAACATAGGGTCACTTGGCAGATATGGATTGACACCTGTCCCTGGGATCCTGATACACACACCTACTTGGATGGTATAGACATTTTTAGCAGCTCCTGGCCCGAACACCTGACCCACATAGGAGCCGTAATAGACTGGATTAGGGAGTCGGACTGACCCTAAAGCCCAGTAAGTGCCATATAGGAACGTGTAAAAGCCTCCACAAGATAGTAGTATGGGCCCCAGAGTGTGAACAGGCCTTCCAACAGCTCAAGACGGCGCTCATTAAATCACCTGTACTTTCTTCTCCTGATCCAACTAAACACTTTCTAGTCCATACAGACGCTTCTATGCTTGGATTGGGAGCAGTATTGAGCCAAGTCGGAGCAGATGGTGGCTAGCAACCCGGGGCTTATCTAAGCCGTAAACTTTTGCACAGTGAAGTATATTCACTGCTGCATTGAAAAAGGAGTGCATAAGCGGTGGTGTGGGCCCTCAAAAGCTGCAACCTACTTGACATGACAACGCATTATTATACCGGGGGTCTAGTAGCGTGGACACCAGTACAGGTCGTTCTCCTTCAGCCTTTTTATACGAGGGTCCCTCAACAGGCACGACAGCATGAAAGACCCCATTTGCACAAGGTTGGATGCCGAGCTACTCATTTCCCGTTCCTCCTCCTCACTGATGTCAATGAAGGTATTTTCTTCCCCCCAGCCATAACACCACAGGTACCAGATAGGTGACAACGAGCACCCTGGGATGCCTGTTGTGGTTGGTCTTGCTCCTCCTCAAAGCCACATTCCTCCTCTGACTCCTCTTCCTCACAATCCTCTTCCAGCGTTGCCGCAGGTCCAGCAAGCGATGCTGATAAGGCTGTTTCTGGAGGTGATGGTGACCACAACTCTTCCTCTTCCTCTTCACGCTCATCTACGGCCTGATCCAGCACTCTTCGCAGGGCACGCTCCAGGAAGAAAACAAATGGTATGATGTCGCTGATGGTGCCTTCGGTGCGACTGACTAAATTTGTCACCTCCTCAAAAGGACGCATGAGCCTACAGGCATTGCGCATGAGCGTCCAGTAACGTGGCAAAAAAATTCCCAGCTCCCCAGAGGCTGTCCTAGCACCCCGGTCATACAAATATTCATTAACGGCTTTTTCTTGTTGGAGCAGGCGGTCGAACATTAGGAGTGTTGAATTCCAACGTGTCGGGCTGTCGCAAATCAAGCGCCTCACTGGCATGTTGTTTCGCCGCTGGATATCGGCAAAGTGAGCCATGGCCGTGTAGGAACGCCTGAAATGGCCACACACCTTCCTGGCCTGCTTCAGGACGTCCTGTAAGCCTATGTACTTATGCACAAAGCGTTGTACGATCAGATTACACACATGTGCCATGCACGGCACATGTGACAACTTGCCCAACTTCAATGCCGCTAACAAATTTGTTCCGTTGTCACAAACCACTTTGCCGATATCCAGTCGCTGCGGAGTCAGCCACTTTTCCACCTGTGCGTTCAGGGCGGACAGGAGTGCTTGTCCGGTGTGACTCTCTGCTTTCAAGCAAGTCAAACCCAAGACGGCGTGACACTGCCGTATCCGGGATGTGGAATAGTACCTGGGGAGCTGGGGGGGTGCCGTTGATGTGGAGCAAGACGCAGCAGCAGAAGAGGACTCAGCCGAGGAGGTTATGGAAGAGGATGGAGTAGGAGGAGTAGAGGAGGTGGCAGCAGGACTGCCTGCAAGTCGTGGCGGTGTCACCAACTCCTCTGCAGAGCCATGCATTCCATGCTTGGCAGCAGTCAGCAGGTTTACCCAATGCGCAGTGTAGGTGATATACCTGCCCTGACCATGCTTTGCAGACCAGGTATCAGTGGTCAAATGGACCCTTGCCCCAACACTGTGTGCCAGAGATGCTATTACTTCCTTTTGCACAATTGAGTACAGGTTGGGGATTGCCTTTTGCGAAAAGTAATTTCGGCCGGGTACCTTCCACTGCGGTGTCCCAATAGCTACAAATTTTTTGAACGCCTCAGACTCCACCAGCTTGTATGGTAAAAGCTGGCGGGCTAATAGTTCGGACAAGCCAGCAGTCAGACGCTGGGCAAGGGGGTGACTTTCTGACATTGTCTTCTTACGCTCAAACATGTCCTTGACAGACACATGACTGTGGGAAGATGAGCGTGAACTGCTCAAGGCGGGAGGCGGAGTGGCGGATGGTTGAGAGGGGACAAGGAGGACAGCAGTGGTTGACGTGGCTGAAGATGCTGACCAGGAGGAGGCTGGCGGCTTAGAGTAGGCGAGCTGCTTGTACTCATGTGTTGATCCCATAGGCGTTTGTGATGTGAGATCATGTGCCTACGCAAAGCAGTTGTACCTAGGTGGGTGTTGGACTTCCCACGACTCAGTTTCTTTTGGCACAGGTTGCAAATGGCATCGCTGTTGTCAGAGGCAGACACACAAAAAAAATTCCACACTGCTGAGCTCTGCAATGACGGCATTCTGGTGGTGGACACAGCATGCGTTGATTGGCGTGCTGTCGGGCTGACCCCGGGTGTCGATGCATGCTGTCTGACTGTGCCACTAGCTCCTTGCGACGACCTTCCCCTGCTTCCAACTCGTCTCCTCCTCCTCCCTGTCTCCCCATCTGAACTTTCGCCCTGTTCTTCTTCTTGACGAGCGGGCACCCACGTGACATCCATGGACGCATCGTCATCATCAACCGCTTCACTTGTATCTGACAACTCAGCAAAGGAAGCAGCAGCGGGTACAACATCATCATCATCATCACACCGTACGTCCATGTGTGTAATGCTGCCTGCCTGAGACATATCCCTGTTATCTACATCCTCTGGCAATAATGGTTGCGCATCACTCATTTCTTCAAACGGATGTGTGAATAACTCCTGACATACCAACTGAAGCGGCTGTGGTGCTAGTTTTGGTGGTGGCGGCAGGCGGGTGAGTGGTATCTTGAGAGGTGCCTGAAGCTAAGCTGGAGGAGGATGGTGCGTCAAGGTTCTGAGCGGAGGCTGTAGAAGATTGGGTGTCCTGTGTTAGCCAGTCAACTATGTCCTCAGAACTTTTCAAGTTCAGGTACGTGGCCTCTGAAAACTGGGCATTATTCTAGGGCCAAAGGGAATCACAGCACCACGACCACGATGGCCCCTGTGGGGTGGCCTGCCTCTGCCTGTCATTTTTGTTGGGATTAGTGGTACTATGCGTGAAAGCTACTGTGAGACCAGATATGAGTGGCAATGTGCACTGGCACAGTTGTGCAGAGCACAGGCTGTAGGCCTGACACCGCTTGAAGATAACTAACTGCTATTCAATCTATAACAGTGAAAAAAGTTTTTTGTTTTTAAATCAAGCTATTGTGTCACCAGATCTAAGTGGTGGCACTGGTCACCGTATCCACTGTTAGCGAACACACCCGCTTTAAGGACACTGACTGCTATTCAATCTATAACAGTGAAAAAGTTTTTTGTTTTTAAATCCAAGCTTTGTGACACCAGATCTAAGTGGTGGCACTGACTGGGGAAATGGGCACAGTATGCACTGTGAGCCTGACACAGAAGCTGGCAGCAGTGGCAGACAACTAAGTGCAATTACATTACATAGAAAAAATAAATTAAAAAAAAGCATACCCTTATCCCTAACCTAGCTATGCTTTTCCCTATCTTATGAACAGCAGCTACACTTTCCCTCCTCTTACTAAGCATGCAGCTTGAGAATGAATCTAAAATGGATGCCTTCCAGGAGGTGGGAGGGTCTGCTAGGGAGGGTGTGCTGCTAATTGGCTGGAATGTGTCTGCTGACTGTGAGGTACAGGGTCAAAGTTTACTCAATGATGACGAATAGGGGGCGGGTCGAATCGCGCATATGTTCGCCCGCCGTGGCGAACGCGAACATGCTATGTTCGCCGGGAACCGTTCGCCGGCGAACCGTTCGGTACATCACTAATCTTGTGTAATGTGTAACTTCTTCCTTCTGTCTTGGTAAAGCAAAATCCAACAGTTTCAGACTCTGGACTTTAAAAACCAGCCTATTAATGATCAACTGGCATGAATGTCCCCAATATGTATGTGTAATGGTGACATGTAAAACATAGCACCAACTATCTGATAAAGGATTAGATATCCACTCCTTTTTAAGGGGGAAGATGAAATTGTGTATTTGAGGTAGTAACTGAATTAAAGTCCTTGACATAAATTAAAGGAGCATTGAATCTTTAGCAACACTCGGCATTATCACATCAAATCAAAGGTCTTAAAGGCACTACCTCTAAAGCAGTGGTAGACAACTTCAGCACGCCAGATGTCGGACTAGATCTTGCATAATGCATTTACAGCCATAACACTGGCAACACATCAAGGAAATGTAGTCCACAACATGCTGAAGGATGCATACCAAAGCTATAGTGGTTGTTTGACAGCCACTAGAGTCATGTTTTTGGGCACATATAACCTTGCAATTTCCCCGAACTTGAAACATTTTATATTGTCCAAAGAATAGAACTGGCTTTTTCCTTAAAAAGACTTTATTTAAATAAAGTGGTTTTGGCATCCCTTTAACCCCTTAAAGGACCACTCTAGGCTCCGAGACCACTTCAGCTTTATGAAGTGGTCTGGGTGCCAGGTCCAGCTATGGTTAACCCATTTTTTCATAAACATAGCAGTTTCAGAGAAAAAGTAAATGATATGATATGAATGAGGCCAAAACATATCAAATGCACTTAAGTTGTTTGGGTGTCTGGAGTGTCCCTTTAAAGGTGTACAGACCAAATTTTTAAACTAAAATACAAGAGTAATGCAATCTATAACATGACCTGTAATCTTTAAAAATAAAAATAAATTAAAATCAATTGTGATGGTTTTAAAATAAGGATTACTTTTAAGTTCGTTATTTACAAGTCATACATATTTATAAACGCTAAAAGGGGTAATAAAGGTTAATACATTTATCATACTATTAATACTTGTGGGGGGTGTGGGGGGGAAGCACACACACACACGCCAAGTAAAATAATTTTTTATTCTTACATAATAAACATTATTTCAGCTGTATCAAAAAAGGGAAAATGTTTAATATCACACTTCATAAATCTGCTATTAACAATATGTGAGTGTTTATCACTTTCTGACAGACTCTTCAGGGTACTGTACTTTAAACCTGGTCATATACTGTGTAATTAGATCTACTCTCTTAATATATCTACTCTCTTAAAAATAAGTATAGGAAAAGGAAAGGCAGTTTCATATTTAATTTTCTTTAAATTATTACCATTTGTAATACCTGCTGAACCTCTAAAGGTAAAATGACTGTCAGATATTTAGTTTCAATTGCAACCGTTAGAAGGTTTTCCACACATTCTTTCCCTCAAAAATAGACTTATTAAAACAAAGATTACTAAACATGTGTTTGAATTCCCAAGTAAAGCTGCTAGATGACAGTCTGACCTATACAGATTGGGGCCTTGGAAGATCCCAAAATTATAAAAATTGGTCCGCACATTTGTTCCATGTTCCTGGTTTTAAAAACATATAGGTCAGGGTCAGCAACCTATGACACCTAAAGTGCCTTTGCATATGAGGCTGTGCAGATCAAAGGATCTTACCTGCTGGCCCAGTGCTCAAGGGAGCCTTTGGTCTGCACGTTCAGAGGGTGCAGACTCTATGTAACCCTCTCTTGCATTCCAACACTTCTTAGGGATGCAGATCATTGCTGCGGGTTATCAAGACATCACTCTGTCACGCAGGAAAAGTGCAAGAGTAGATACTGAGGGACAAGCAGTTCGCACCAACACAAGATGCAGACCATAAATACAAAGCACTAGACCATTAGAGAGGAATGAGGATGTGTCTGGAAAGGGGAGGCAGACATTATTTAAAAAAAACAACAAAAAAAAAACACACACACACACACAAACAAAAAAACAAAACTTAATTAACAGGAACCCCCCAAACATGATTCCCACTCAACTCTAAAGACAGCCGCACATACACAACCCTGGAATCAGCCGTCCAACCACACACACACACACAAAACCAGAGATAGAACACATTAAAATTAAACCTATTACAAGCAACCTATACACACACACACACACGACAACTCAACTATATAACTGGCAGCCAACAATGAAAAAGCAAGCCACACATAATACTACGAAGAGTTCACATAAACACCACATACAATAAAATCAGTTTTTTTCCCCAATTCAGATTTAATTTGTGAACATTCAGAGCTTAGTGCGTAAGCCTGAATATTTCACCCCCATAGCAAGTATGACAGTTTAATGAATGTATTGACTGTGTGTATTACATGTCATGTGAGCCGGCTGTACATAATTGGTGTGTGTGTAATGTGTGCAGGGTTTGCGTGCTCTCCTTTGCCCCCTTCTGCAGAGACGGGGCTTTGGTCCCTGCTTGCACATTGGTGGAAAGTGTGTTCTGCACTTCCAGATGCTAGAAAAAAAAAAAAAAAACAAAGTCCTCAATCCCTTGCAGTCTGGCATTCAATGAATCAAACTTGATTACTGCAGCTTGCACCTGCCAGAGGTGCAGACCACATGCTCCTTGCCCGACTCTGTCCTCCCTGTCTGCCTTGCACCTGGAACTACATGTCCTCTGTGTTCGAGGATACAAACATCCCTGAGCCCCCGCACCCTGCGTGCGCACACACTGCCGCAAATCCCCTCTACACTCACAGAACGTCACAGACATCCCACAAACATAATACACACAGCCCACCACGCATAGCCCACATATATACACATAAAACCTCACAAAAGTAGATGCCACACCGATACAGTACACATTCAGAAATCTCAACATAAACGTTACCTTTCCAAAATTATTAAAAATAATAATAGGGTCGCACATTAAGTGACTTCAAAACCTGACTTAAGCACAACAGTATCAAAATTGTTGCCTACCCCTGTTATAAGTATTCACAAATGAAAAATGGTTTAAGAGGCTAGCAAAAAAAGTGAGAGAATACACACACACACACACACACAATTTTAAATTTGCAAAAACAATGAGGCCTGGGACACTGGTATTTATATAGAGATGGGTCAAGCACCTCTAAACAAGGCACAGACATACAGTTTTACTGGAGTTTTAGTACCATGTTACATTACGCTCTATTCACAATTAACATCCAAACCTTGACAATATGCACCACATTAGCTGAACTAGCCTCAAATGTGATGGGGTCGGGGGTACGTTCTTTAAGACTCATTTTACAGAGTGGGTAGGGACTCAGGTTCAGGTTCCTGGATCAAAGACTTGGCATGAGATGAACTACACTTCTTTCTTCTTGAGAATAAGAGGCCCCACGTTGTCTCCTACTATCTCGTTGTGCTTATTATGAGAGCCGTCACAAACGGGAAACTATGAATGAAAAAAAAAAAAAAAGAGGGAAGATGTTATATACAACATTACTTATCCAGGCGTTTGTATGATGATATGCTTGCTACACAACAAATTATATCACATACATAATTTTCTATAGATTCCTGGCTTTCTACTAGCTATCTTGTCCCCATATTCTATTTTGAGCTTGATAAAGGTTAGCAGTCATTAACCTCTTTATTATACAGCAGCAAAGGATGATATGTCAGTTGGCCTATCATAACACTTCTGCACCACTATGGAATATGAAAATATATATATATATATACACACACACACACACACATATACATACATACATACATACACACACAAAAAGCTGTCATCTCTTCACAGGTGAAACAGTTGCCCATTTCCAGAGCCTGAATGGATTTCTGGAGATGCATATTTAATTTTTTTGTCTGATGTGTCAACTTTTATTTTTTTACCACAACCATCAGTGATGTGTTTGTTTTTTATTCTTTATTTTTGCTCATCCCACTGTTGTGAGAAAAAATGTCATGCAAGACAAGTACAGAGTTATAATAAAACAAGATACATTAATAATCACAAGCAAAGGAACCAGTGAGGTGTTTTTAGGGATATAGATAAGCCTAAGCAGGTGTGAAGTAGGCAAAACATTATTTGGTCTAAGCGGGAGTTGGCTAAAACCATCTCTATTATACATCTAATCTATCAATACCTAACATAAGTAGGCCAATAATAAGAGGTGTAAAAATAAAACAAAATTGACTTGGTATGCAATTTTCCTGAACTAGTAGCAATCATCCGAGATGTATGATGGTATTATCTATTTGAGCTTAGGACAATAGGCAGAAATCCACAATTTGTTTTACACCTCTGGGCATAGTCAATGTAATCTAGTATCCGCCACTAAGATTGAAGGGGGGTGGGGTTGCCCACGGAGAGCAGTAGACATTGTATAAGTCAAGTATATAAGAAAGTGTCAAACCAGGTGTCGGACAGAGTGAGTAACATCTCCCCATAAGACCAGAAGCATTCGCAGAGATCATCACCTGGATCAGATTTTGTGGATCCCGAGTAGAGCGGTAATGGGTTGCAGAAGCTTTCTCCATTGTAGAGTTTCCCCAGAGAGGTCAGAATAAAATATGAGCACTATATTTTCAAACACATATGGTGGCTCTCTGATGCCGTTTTCACAGTCCCTATGCAATTTACAAGGCCTGTAAGGTCTAAGTGGAGCGTTGCCACATCCGCCTCTATAGTTTTCTGGAGGTTAGCGAATAGCTCCTTCAGAGTGGCTGTAGTAACAGGCTGGGAGTTTTCACTCCGTGGGTCAATCTGAGAGTGTGGACGAGTCGGCAGGACTGCAACTCTGCCCAGCATTAACTCCTCTGAGGAGTCTGAAAGTTGTTGAGGTCGGTGGCCATCTTGGGCCCACATGCACAATGTGCTTGTCTCAGGAGTTCCTCGCTATATATGCCCAACCTGGGCTTATATGATTTTTGATTCTTGGTCTTACAACCCATGGTAAGTATGTATACCAGCACCCCCATTCTTAGGTCATGTAACTGCTCGGGATTTCAAGAATACAGCAATAAAACATGGAGCCCATATCATGTTCATCCATCAGCTTTGGCTGCTTGGCTCTGCCCCTGTTTTTTTTTTAACATACAAAATGAAGCTCTGTAAAATGTTAGCATAGGACTCACTTGAGAGGTTTTGCATTGACATGACAGGTGAGCTTAAACTTTAATGGCCATTGGAGTGATACTAAAAAAAAACTGTTATTTAAATGTGCATAGTGATTAGGGATAGAGCCCAAGTTTTTTTATTATAAGCATTCATTGTAGAAAAGGAATCATTAAGGATGCAGTGTATTTAGTAATATCAAGTGGTCGTATTTAGTTAGTGCTAGAAAAACACCAGTTGAATTCAAACATACCGGTGTCAGTTGTGTATGCACGCCAGTTAAATCAAATTACTGTGCAATTTAAAAATTGTCAAATGCATGTGTTGTGTAAATAGTACAAATGTAATTGAGGGGGGCTTCAATTGTAAACTCTGATAATTCTTTAGTGGTAGTGTATTTTAGTTTTGGAGGAGTCGTGTCTTAAAATAGAGTATCCATAAAAGATCTTATGACCATGGAAAAACTCTTCAAGTTCAAAGAGAAATGTAGTTAGATTGAGTGAGAAAATTAAATTACAATAAGTTGATCAGCCATGTTATACACACATATTTGCCAAGTATTATTACTTATACACTTATATTATGGCCATAAATCATATACATTTCACTAGTTACTAAGAGGTCATTCAGGGGTTATATTTTTAAAGGAACACTTCATGCACTATAACTACTACAGTGCACTGTAGAGGTTATGGTGGCAAGTGTGCAGTGGACACAATTGTAAGAGGTCAAACCATTTTATAATGCTTTCTTTTTTTATTTTTTATTTTTTTTTTTAAACCTGAGTCCATTGCCCCCACGGCTTCACTACTTGTGGCTCTCTGTCTGAACTAAACCCTGCAGTTAACGGCTTAGCTCACTGGTTTAGAGCCATCCGCTGATACTCTCAGCCAATGAGCTGGTCGTGCATTGCAGGGCTTAGCTCAGAAGAGCGAATGGAAAACTCATGCCTAGGAGATCCTGGCTCACTGCCGGCAGTGCAGAGTTTGGAACAGATACGTGATAATCCTCAGAACCCAAACAACTGCTCACCATAAATGGTTAATGTTGCAGTGCTGCCTTTTTTATTACAATGAAGATCTGACAAACAGAATATAAGAACTGAAGAATGTGTCGCTAAGCCAATGCCATAAGTATTAAGGCCTTTTGGCCTGTAATTGTGGGAGGGGCGTATGACTCACCTTCTCCCTACTTAAGGGACACCCCTTACCTGGCTCCATACCGTTCGAGGTCAGCGCTGCATCGAGAATCCACTTCCGGTTCACGTACGGCGCCATCTTGCTTTTCAAAAACCCGCGGTTTTCGTTTGGTGTAGCTGTGTCCAGGAATCCTTACAGGTTTTCCGCCCGTTCAGCCACGCACATACCCGGTGTTTTCGTCGCAGATTAAGTCCACAGGACTTCAAAATCGTAAGTCCGTCGCCCGGATCATTTCCCACGGCGTCGCGATTTAAAACGGCCTTACTTTACGGCCACACGCTTTACGGCCAAGTCACAGGCATATTAACCCCTTTGCTGCCGGCAGGCATATCGGTTTCGGTTTTTCTTGTATTAAGCAAACTTGTTCTGCATATCAGCAGCTATAGTTGGTTTCATGTTATTACTGTTATTTATTTTATGCAAATTACGAAATCCTTGCATATGACTGGGGCAATACCCCTGTTAACTACTTATAAATAAGTATTTATTTAGGTTATGGTTCAATCTTTTAGCAGATATGGCATTAAAGTTTTATTGAAATTCTTCATGTTATATACATATATTTATGGAGTTAAGCTTAGACAAGCTTTTACATTTTACAGATATCTCTTGTAGGATTTACGTTATAAATTATGTTTAGAAATTACGTTTCTATCATACCATGTACTCACGTTTCTTACATGGCACTTATATATTCTGACTTTTTCTTTGTGTACTCAAACGACATACCAAGTACACAAGAACACGGTCTCATAAAATCTCACAAACTTTCGGGTTGAATCACACGTCTTGATTCAACCACTCATACGTCACGTTTGTTTCCTAATTTGGGATAATTTCTCAAATATTTCTGTACCTCGTACTTACCTCTTTTCATGGCTTACGTTTACGGCCTAACATATACGGTATTGTTTTAAATCCTGCACCTTATTATACTACAAACACTAGCATTACTATATCATACACATTAATCTTGTCACCATAAGAGACATATCATACACACCCCCAAGCATGATTACCATACCACATACAGGACCAGTCGGGCCAATATCATTCATGTATTCCCCTTCCATATGTACTACTAGAACTCATCACAACTAACTAGTCTAAATTGGTATCATAGGATCCAATTCTCACACTATCACATTTGGTTTTTCAATCCCTTTAGTCTCTACCTATCGCTTATCAAACGCATACATACTACCAGGTACGTTAAGCCTGCTCACGCCATACATCACATATGGCTCCTCCTCTACTTAGGACATAGAGTACTGGCAATTTTAGGGGTTATAGGCCCAAATAGGTATCCCCCCTCCGGGCATTCTGCCTATCGTTTAGTGGTCCGCGAGGCCAACACCCCGCCTCAACGTTTCGGAGGTAATGCCCCCCGGGCCACACGTGAGTTAGCCGCCTCGCATTATAGAGAGGGTGCCACCTGTCACTCCCTTCCCCTGTTTTCTTGTATTGTCACCGAGAGGCCTACGAATTCCTGCCACTACGTCGGGTGGCCTCAATAACCCCTCGCGCCAACGCATAGATAGAGCCTCTCATAGCCACTTGGCAACTAGCAGGGCCTCACCTGTCACCAAAGAACAAGTTTAATTTTTCGCCTCATCCGGCATAATTAGCCTGCCAGTACATCCCCTCGGGGGTTTTTTACGCTAACCATATACTTTGTAATCTAGTATGTCTCAAGAAGGGGTAGAGGATTTCTCCATCCCAAGGACTCCGGCTAGAACAAACACCCCATCACAGGAGGAAGATACGGCTAGTCCAGCATCTTTCAGATCATGGACTATCCCTCGTATCACTAGCGAACTCAGGAGACGACAAATCCCTTTTCCAGCAACAGCAAGGAAAGCGGAACTTTACAAATTATTACACACCTCAACCGATAACATGGACGCTGGGGAAGGGTCGAGCCAGTCCCACCCAGGAAACATACATGACATGCTCACGTCCCTCATGACATCCATGAGCAAGGTCAATTCTAGGCTGGAGAAACTTGAATCGGTCACTACAGCCCTCACTATGGCTGGACCGGCCACGGCAATTCCCCCATCAGTGGTGGAGTCGCAATCAGTTTCTCCAGCTATCACCTCGGATGACCAAGAAGTTTACCCTGCCCACATGATTCCTGAGCACCTCAGGAGAGATATCCTGGAAGGTAAAGATGTCAATCTGGCCTCACTACTAATTGCCTCCCAGGATATAGTGGAACATAAGACCTACGCTTATGACGATATTTCTGTGGTGGTCAAATCCAGGGATGCACGATTAAATAGGAAGCTAACCATTCCAGAATTTGTATTAGCTTTTGGCATTTATCGGGATGTGGTCTGTACGGTATATCCCCACAGACGTGAGGAGTTTGACTTATATATGCACAGGCTGGTTGATCTGGGCAACAAATATGGTGGGTCAGCTTTCTATGACTACCATAGATCCTTTTCTGCCAAAGTGTCTGGCGCCTTCTCACAGTACGGGACAAGGTCCAACTGGAGTAAGATTGATACGATCATATTTTGCAGGCACTTTGCAGGTCTAAGAGCACCGGCCTGTGCACACTGCTCCTCCATGGCTCATACTGCCAATTTTTGTCCGACCACTGCGAACGAACCTACCACCTCGCAGGGCACTAGCTCCGCTGTGTCAGCAGAGAGAACACCCAAAGACAAACTGGGTCGACCTATCAAGTTTTTGGGGAAGTCCCAAATATGTAATAATTTCAATGTCGGTGCATGTAATTACAGCGGTTGTCGGTTATTGCATATATGTTCAAAATGTTTTAGGGCACATGCGAAAACCATGTGTCCAAATAAAATGTACCCTAAGCAATACTTAACTGAGATAAATATTTCTGTACTCACGGCATTACTGTCACGACATCCATCTAGACATTTGGTAGACTTCATCATCACTGGTCTATCACAAGGATTCCATACTGGTCTCATACACATGCCTTCAGGAATCCTTGAATGTCCTAATTTACAATCTGCACAACAAAACCCTACAGCGGTTAGCACACTCATAGCCAAAGAAGTGGCAGAGGGCTTCCTATTGGGACCCTTTCAGTCCCCTCCTTTTTCCACATGGCGGACAAACCCCATCGGTATTGTCACAGGGAAATCTTCCCACAAACAAAGACTTATCATCGATCTGTCTGCACCTCACACCTCTGCCTCACCTAGTCTGAACTCCCTTATCCCCTCTGAGGAATTTTCACTTCAATACTCCACCATAGATCACGCCATTACAGCTATCATGCAGGCAGGGGTCGGAGCATGGCTCAGCAAGACTGACATTACAAATGCCTTCAAATTATTGCCTATCCACCCTACACTATGGCACCTGCATGGCATTAAGTGGGCCGGGCACTACTACTTTTTCTCACGCCTAACGTTTGGTTCAAAAGTAGTCCGGCCATTTTCGACGTATTCGCCGAAACATTATGCTGGTTATTATTAAATGTAGCCAGATGCCCTACAGTTATACACTACCTGGATGATTTCTTACTGATCGAAGAGAACACTTCCCCTCCCAGTAGCCTCATAGAAACCATCAGTCTTTTTAAACAGGTGGGTGTTCCAGTCTCCCCCACCAAAACTGAAGGACCAGATACAGTCATCACCTTTCTGGGAATCATGCTAGACTCAGCCACCATGCAAGCCAGCCTGCCACGCACCAAGATAGAGAACATTCTCACCAACATTAACCTCTACATACACCTCGGTACTTGCAATCGCAAAGAATTGCAGTCTCTACTTGGGTCACTGAACTTTGCCATGCGCATTATACCTCAAGGCCGGGCTTTCATCTCACGGCTCCTAACCATGTTCCCACTGTTTAGACATGATGCACACAGGTTACCACTGGATACCCAAGCCACGGCAGACCTACTTATGTGGAGAAACTTTTTGACCACCTGGAATGGGAAAAGCATGTTTCTCCCTAAATTGTCTGACTCCTCACCTACCATCTGGTCAGACGCGGCGTCTACCACAGGTTTTGCAGCAATTTACGGGAATGAATGGCTTTGGGGTAGCTGGCCTCCAGAGGTACAGGACCTGGAAGGGTTTTCCACTACCTCAGCTCTATTTGAGATGTATCCCATTGTGGCAGCTGCCGTGACATGGGGGCATCTATGGGCAGGTTCGTCAGTACGTTGCCACTCAGACAACCAAGCTACCTGCCACATCATAAACAAAGGCCGATCCAAGTCACTGACCATTATGAGGTTCTTGAGGAAACTCACCTGGCTGGCTGCATGCCATAATTTCTTCTTGTTTTGTGTCCATGTCCCAGGTGTTTGTAACACGGCTGCTGACAATTTGTCTCGTTTCAATTTTCAGGCTTTTCGGCAAATACTTCCGTCAGCCGCACGTACAGCCACGACCACTCCACCTTTCCACCAGCTAGTCATGGACTAGAAGCTATTATGCAACATAGCAGGACATTGGCACAATTAGCACTGTCCACCAATACCCGGAGAACATATGACAGGGCTTTCCTTCTATTTAAAGATTCCTGTCACTGCACAACGCCACACAACCTTTCATCATGACATCTTTGTTAGGTTTTGCTTCTTTTTGCCACCTCAAACTTAAATTATCTTACAACACAATCAAGCTATATCTGACAGGCATACAACATCACATGCTAACATTACAACCAAACAACACAAGTTTCATGTCCTCCTACCAGATAAAAACATCCTTAGAGGTATCCAGAGATCCGAACCCCCACGTACCGCGCAAAGGCTACCTATAGACTTCAATATCTTCAAGGATTTATCCAGCCTACTAGATTCAAAACCCTTTGCGAACAACACAAACCTTGTTATAAAAACCGCCATATACGTAGCTTTTTATGGTTTCTTGAGACCAAGAGAATTTACCGCCATCAACACATCCCAGTCCACTCACATTCTGCTTCATTCACACTTAACGAAACACATGGATTACTATATTTTAGCTCTGCATCACTCCAAAACCAATCAACACGCACCCCCGGTAGAGGTTAGATACTATCCTACCCACAACGTGTGGTGCCCCGTCACATTACTGGACACCTATACTCAGCATTTCAAAGCATCACCATCTCAACCACTTTTCTGTCTACAAGGTTCGGTACTCACTACCACCACCTTCATGACCCACGTCAGGTCCCTACTTACACAACTAGGCCTAAAATCAGCTAACTATTCGGGCCACTCCTTCCGCATAGGGGCGGCCTCCACAGCGTCCAGTGCAAACATTCCAGTACATGTTATCAAGTCACTAGGGCGCTGGAAGTCTTCTGCATACTCTAGATACATACCTAACCCGGTACAAGAAGTTAGAAATGCCTTTCAAGATATGTCTGGTTGAAGTATGTATACTGCTCATTTCGTAATAAAGTGTATTTTCTACTTTTGCCCTCTTTATTTGCAGGCCTACCTCATCGTCGGTTCCGGCACACCACAACCGACTTGCTCTTTCACACTATCCCACACTTATCAGTGTTTGTATCTTCTGTACTATCATGAGCCCTTAACACAAGTATTAAGGCCTTTTGGCCTGTAATTGTGGGAGGGGCGTATGACTCACCTTCTCCCTACTTAAGGGACACCCCTTACCTGGCTCCATACCGTTCGAGGTCAGCGCTGCATCACCCTCCCACCCACTCCTCTTTTATTAACTCCTTTTTCTCATACATTTCTTATTGGTGGGCCCTCTTTATTTGCAGGCCTACCTCATCGTCGGTTCCGGCACACCACAACCGACTTGCTCTTTCACACTATCCCACACTTATCAGTGTTTGTATCTTCTGTACTATCATGAGCCCTTAACACAAACATTATTTAGATCCAAGTTAGAAATGCACTCCAAGCAACAAAATACTGCACGCTGTAGCGGTATGGTGCCAAGAATCCCCTGGCATGCTGCCATTTTAAGAATCAAAACCTTTTAAAAAAGTTTTACACTTACCAGGATCCCCTGGGCACTCGTGGTCTTTTTCACAGATATATCTGAATAGGACATTTCTAATGCTGGATGTAGTTTATATTAATGCAGAAGTAGGAACTTTCTCTTAAGGATATCTGTGAAGAAGGGCTAGACCGCAGGCACCAGGGCAAGTGTTAAACAGTTTGAATACACCAGGGCACTCCTGGCACCATAATCATGCAGTGATTAGGATGCTTCGAGTAGCGCCTTTAAGAAATTCTGTGTGCAAACATGTGTTTCACATAATGAAGCATACTCCCAACTATTCTGCATTTGGCCCCCTGTTCACACTTCTGAACAAAGACTCATTCCTGTTTGCTTCTAAACATCTCAATATGGAGCGGTATGGCTCAAAATAAACCAGTATTTTAAACAAAAAGTTCTGTAACTTGTATAATATTACAAAGGTCTAAATGGTACTGGGTTCAAATATAGTCTGTTTTAAGCTTAGAGAACATAAGAAAAAAAAAAGTCTATTTCCACTATTAAATATATGCATTCCCTGACCTAATTAAGTTTATCCAGTAATAAAGTACTTACGGTCTTTGAGCGCCAACATCGGCAGTATGCAGCTTTAGCAAGGTGCAGGTCCTCTATATTGATCTCATTCACTACTTTGGGGTTCTCTTTTTGAATTTTAAGGTTTATTAGGCTATCTTTTTGTTGTTTCTTTTTTGCTAAGAATGGTCGAATAGCAAGGTATCCAAGCAGTGCCATAACACCAAGGAACGGCAATAACCGCAACCATTCTGAAACTAAAGAAAATTACAAGTTATTTAGGATTCAGTTTATGTAACAAAATATCTCCAATCACAAATTAACTTATTTAACTACTTTTATTACTTGGAAATGGTAATCATAGTCTACCCATTAACAGCAATGCAGATAGATTTACCTTAAAAATACTAAAATGTGATCGAGTTTTGGGTCCTTAAAAAGTAATCTGCTGTGAGTCCCTATACTGATGATGCAGTATTGGACTTGCATAAGTGACATTGCGCATGTGTCAGTTCTACGATAGATAGAGATAGAGATAGAGAGATATATATAGATATATATATATATATATATATATATATATAAACAAAAATAAAAATCATCTGTGATGTACAAAAAAATCAATCGACGTTTCGACCCTGCCGGGTCTTTTTCAAGATCTTGAAAAAGACCCGGCAGGGTCGAAACGTCGATTGATTTTTTTTGTACATCACAGATGATTTATTAAAGCACCAGTTTTCCTATTAACCAGAAGACCTGTGAGTGCATTTTGATTTTTATTTTTGTTTATATATTTGACGCCAACAATTTGCACCCAGGCATGTGAGTTACAAATTTATATTTTTTGGAGGTGAGTGCCAAGCGTTCACATATATATATATATATATATATATATATATATATTTATATATTAGGACTGATTAAAACCTTTCAGCCAAAGTGAGCAACAGGGATGATCTGCAAACATTTATTTTAATTAAAATAAATACATTTTTTAAAACGTCTACACACTACTTCCATTGTAAGAGAGCCAACGTATAACTCTGCTGAAGACAGTAGAGATAGATCTTAATAGAACCCCTTTCTCCTAAAACTGGAGATATCATTTTCAACTGTGCAGGAGCTTAAAGATTATAGCTCCCAGTGGCCTCACTGAGCCACAACAAAAACCAGGATAAAAACAGCTGTTTTTAGAAGATAAAAACTTTACATTCAGAAAGTATTATTATTGGTTATTATTTATATAGCACCAGCTTATTCCGCAGAACTTTACAAAAAGAGGGAAATCTACCAAGTGAGACAATAGCCAAATGTAACAGCCACAGGTAGTTAAGGACCCTGCTCAAACAAGCTTATAGCCTAGAGGTAGTAGGGGAGTATTTAACAGGCCACATTGGGTTTGAAACAGGGGAAACCAAGGCTGATGTACATTTCAGATGCATCCCAGCAGCCACTGGGACACACAGTATGTGATACCTTGCCATATTTAAATCTAACTAAGCACTTAACCTCTCTGTGGCCATCCAGTTCCTTGCTGTAAAACACAATTATAATTATTTATTCAGCAAACAAATCTTTCTAAGGGCTAAACAAGACAAACATTTAATCCTAAAGCATGTATGAAATAAAGGAGCAGTAGGCAAAGAGAGCCTTGTCAAAATGTGTTTACAATCTAAAGAAACTATCTGCAACCATGGAAAGCCAGCAACCTTTAATACACAAATAGGTAGTTCCACTCCAAGCATCCCTCAGTGCCATTTACTTGAGGGACGAATGTGGGAAATCTAAGTAAATGAAAATTGAATTTAAATTTTAAGGCCAAAATAGCTGAACTGAGAAAATTCTTCAAGTCAGCTATTCTGCCAGTTCGGCTACTTTGGACTTATTTAAAATTCACTGTAAAGTCCCTACAATTCTCACTTTATTAAATAATCCTGCCCGTGTTTATTCAAAATTGCTTTCCCAAAGGGTTAAAATCTGCTTTTGTAACCCGGTTGGAGTCAGGGCTCAATTTGCATAGATCTAATGCACGGAGTTATACAATGATATAGATGGGGCGGGAAACAAAGTTTTAAGTTAAAAAATTTAACTATTGCAACAGAGGATTTTATTTCATATTATACTTAGTAGCAGAACATCATGTATACGAGAAATGTCATACCACTAGTAATAACTAGGTAGATCACTGAATGTTCTTGGGGAACTGGGTACAATTTTATGGTAAAAATAAATAGAAAACTCAATAAATGTCAGTTATGTTATATGGTATGTACGTGTTGGGATGGACAAGCAAGTATATCCGTTTATTAACATGGTAAATTTGCCAAGCACTGGCCTTGTCCTGCTTCACTCCGAGGGACTGGATCCGAGCAAGGGCCTTCTGAGCCACCTGAATGCCTCAACCTGGTGATTTTTTTGCCTTCAATGGTATCCTTATCCCAAACTGTACCCTGCCATTCGTTGTGGCTCATGCCGGTGGCCATGAGAGAGACAGAGGTACTTGTGAGACAAGCGGTGAGGAGGAGGCTTCTGAGTCGTTCACAAGTACTAGCATTGTGGGGCCCTTCCATGTTAGCAGACTGTGTGTAGCCCCTGAAGGGCACAGGCTGAGAGAAGATGGGGTCTCATGGCCATTTATTTTTCTTTTACCTATGACACTGAGGGAAACAAGCCTTTCATTGTATTTCTATATCCAAACGTTATTCTTAGCCATCTGTGACTATGCTGAATTTCACCCTGCTAACCTAATTTAACTTTCAAATATCAATAGAGGCCTTGTGGGTGGGGGCATCCTGGGACACAATACTGTTAGCTCATAGTCTATTATGTTTTGTCCTTTCTATTACTTTCTTCACCTTTAAAAAAAAAAAAAATGTGCTATTGATTCAATGCCATGTTTTTGTATCACACAGTTTGATATTACTATGCTTGCCTTTGCTGACATGGCTTCAAACACGCTTTTGTTATCTCATGCACAGCTAAAAAAGAATTTAAAAAAAAAAGTGTAAAATCAATTGCTACAGAAAATGATGAAATGCCTCATATGAAATTGCAATGGATATCTACTTTAAAATAATAATAATAATAATAATAATTTAAAAAATGAACATTTGCTGTGGTAAGTTGAAATGGAAGGTCATTTAATTATCTTAGATAAAATAAATAAAATAATTTTTTTTAAAATGCATCAAGAAAAATAACTTTTTTGCATATTTATTTTTTTGTTGCAAAAGCAAACATTAAAGCATGTAATAGCACTGTGCCCATTGTTCCTACAAGAGAAAGAACTGCAGTTACAGACATTTGTCTAAGCTGTGAAGAGGTTTTTGCATATTTTTTTTAGTGGGAGACTGCTAGCTTCTTATTTGTTTATTTAAAAATCTTAAAAACCCCCATATCTTAATACAGTTGCATACATACAAGCCTCCTCCCACCATGAAAACAGCTATGCAAATAGCGTAACTCCTGCGTATATATAAAAAGAATAGTTGTTTTTTTAGTCCATAGTGAGTGTTTATGAGCCATGTCATCAACAACAGTAAACTGTCCTAATGAGCAGAGCAACGTCCCATAGGCTGCACCCAGTCTGCAAAGTCTGTACCCACAAACTTTCTGTCTCCATTTCACCCTACAGGAGAGTGATCCCTTAAAAGGCAAAAAATGATCTTATCTGCCAAATGAGACTACAGACTTACACGTCACTTGCTGATGCAATATAAGACTTTAAAATACACCCACATTCTGTTGGAAAATAAGTTTGCAAATTTAGATTTTACATGTGCATGCAAACTATATATACCCCAAGCATAATGGGAGCACTGCTGGTTTTTACATTGAATGGCAGTGTAAACAGGACTGCAATGTGCGGTACAAAGAAAAAAAGTTTACTCTACACTTTTAGTTAGTTTTGCACCCTTCTGCCAATTCCTGTGACATTTCTAGATTAGTACTATTATACATGGGAGACACATTGTATTTACATGTTATAATGTCATTGGGAATACACAATCACGGTGCAGCACGTTGCACTTTTAGTGAGGTGTGGAGGAGGAGGGCAGTGTTCACTATCAAACATGCATTTACCTGTCAGCCTGGTGAAGCCAGCAATGCTGTCTGGGACTGGCAACCTCTTCAGGTAAGCTGGGAGCTGCACTTTGATGACCCGAGCTATGCTTTCTAACACCATGATGTCTGTGCTCACAGTCAGCACTCACACAGGAAAGGCTTGCAAAGTAAAGGATCTCTTCCTGGAGTCAGCAATGGTGTCTGTGACCTTCCTTGTACCTCCCTTTCTCTCTGCGTGCAGCAGCACCTCCTCCTCATCATCATCATCATCATCACACAGAGCCAAGTGTATGGCTACAGTACTGAATGCTGGTTAAAGCTGTAACACTATTTGTACTTTCCCCTTTTTCACTTTTATACATTGTTGTACACACTTATTCATCACACGATAAAATAGAGACAGGTTATGCTGGTAATAAATACTAATACATTGTTTATTAGTCCAATTATGCCTCTAAAATGCAAAGCCAGCAATGATACTCTAAACTGATCTTGTATTGTAATCTTGAGCACAGGGGCGGACTGAGAACCCTCAGGGCCCTCGGGCAAAATAAATCAAGGGCCCCCTTACAGGCCCCACCCATACTCTGCAGCAAGCGCCACCCTTGTCCCGCCTCCATGCACCGCCTCCAGCCACACCCTACACAATCTTTAGACACAAGGAACAAAAGGGCAATAAGCCCTTCGAGGCCCCAGTAGAGACTACAATTGAGGGCTAATGGGCCATGGAGGGGGGTCTTTCTAGCGGAGGCTATCTCAGTGTCCTTTAGAGAGTGTGTTAGAAAGAATCCCCTCCAAGCCCCATTAGAGACTACAATGGAGTCTAAAAGGCTTGGAAGGGGGTCTTTCTAACAGAGGCCATCTCAGCGTCCATTAGATATCCCCTGCTGGAAACAGTCGCCTCCAGGCCCCAGTAGAAACTACAATTGAGGGCTAATGGGCCATGGAGGGGATTTCTAGCAGAGGCTAGAGTCTAATGGGGCCTGGAGGGTGGTCTCTCCAACACTCTGGTTCCTATTCACAATATAGCAACACAACATAGCTCGCTGATACCTAAGCCAAGTTGGCTCCTCTTACCTTAATTACTGTTGCTGGCTGGCAGTCTGTGGGCTTGCTGGCTGCAGCTGGCAGGCTGTGGGCTTGCTGGCTACTGCCGGCAGGCTGTGGGCTTGCTGACTGCGGCTGGCAGGCTGCGGCTGGCAGGCTGTGGCTTGCTGTAGGCCTGTGGGCTGGCTACTGGCCTGTGGGCTGGCTAACTGGCCTGTGGGCTGGCTAACTGGCCTGTGGGCTGGCTAACTGGCTGGCTACTGGCCAGCCTGTGGGTTGGCTGGCTGGCTACTGGGGCACTTGTAGATTATTTAAAGAAATAATCCATGCACAATAACCACTACTGCGCCAGAGTAAGTAGTCAAAC